TCGAGTCTTGCGACACCATGTGAAGACTCCACGGCGGTTGCTGTCGACGCAGCCTCAACATGATTTACTTTCGAAGGCAACCCGCAACATAGGCATCATCGCCCATATCGATGCAGGAAAGACGACTACCACTGAGCGGATGCTCTACTATAGTGGTGTGACGAGGCGAATAGGAAATGTTGACGAAGGCTCAACAGTAACCGACTTCCTCCCGGCTGAACGAGCACGCGGCATCACCATTCAATCTGCAGCGATAACATTCCACTGGCCTCCGCTACCACCAAGTACCCAGACTCCACCACCTCCACCGCAGCTACCAGCTTCGTTCGACAATGTTCCACGATCTTCAAGTTCTCACAACATCAATCTGATCGACACACCCGGCCATGCAGATTTTACTTTTGAAGTGTTGCGTTCGCTCCGTGTCTTGGACGGTGCTGTATGTATCCTTGATGGAGTCGCCGGCGTTGAAGCGCAGACGGAGAAGGTATGGACGCAAGCTGGAACGTACCATATTCCCAGAATCATCTTTGTCAATAAGTTGGACCGCGTAGGTGCTGCCTTCTCACGCACTGTCAAAGAAATAGGTGTTAGGTTACATGGATGGCCAGCTGTGTGCCAAATACCATGGTGGAAGAACGGCAACGGCGATTTTGTTGGAGTTGGTGATGCCGTCAATCTACGTGGTATGCTCTGGCAAGCGGGTGGCGATGGAAGGGATATCCAGGCTTTTGGGCTGGAGGAGCTGAGCAAGACTGACGAAAAGTTCGCAGAGGAGATCAAGAAGGCGAGAGTAGCACTTGTTGAGATTTTGAGCGAGCATGACGATGTTATGGTTGAGCATTTTCTGGAACACGATGAAGATCATTTGGCTATATCTGGACTACAAATCATGCAGTCATTACGCCGAGTCGTACTACAAGCACCGCAGAAAGTCATACCGGTCTTCGCTGGTGCTTCATTCCGCAACATTGGTGTCCAACCGCTACTTGACTCGGTCGTCGATCTCCTCCCGTCTCCACTGGAACGCCCCGATCCTGAAATCAGCATCTCCAATCAAAGCAGCACCCTCGCCACCCTTCTTAATGCTGCCGCAGCAACACCAACGAGAACGACGAAGCCATCAAAGAAACAGCCGAAAAGCGATGGCGAACTAGCTGTCGCAGAAGTCAAGAACCTCAACGCATGTGCTCTCGCCTTCAAAGTGGTCAACGACGCGAAACGCGGCGTTTTGGTTTACGTGCGTGTCTACTCAGGCTCCATTGACCGGGGTGCCACCCTCTACAATACGAACCTATCCCTCGCAGAACGCGCGCCTCGGCTCCTCAAGATGTACGCAAACGATGCCGTCGAGGTAGACAGCATTGGTGCCGGCCAAATTGGTGTCATCACCGGATTGAAACATGCTAGAACCGGAGATACACTAATTGTATACCGTGGTCTTCAGATGAAGGGAACACCGTCGGGTGGTCTGGACACTCTACAACTCCGACCCATCGCCGTCCCACCACCAGTCTTCTTCACGAGTATCGAACCGAACAGTCTCAGTGAACAAAAGCATGTCCAAGAGAGCCTCGCTATCCTGCTGCGAGAAGACCCTAGTCTCCATCTTTCCGTCGATGAGGAGTCTGGCCAGACGCATCTAGCAGGCATGGGCGATCTCCATCTCGAAATTGCTCGAGACAGGCTCCTCAATGACTTCAAAGCCAAAGCGCGGATCGGAAAAATTGAAATTGGATACAGAGAAACGATCACAACAATGACAGCTACGGAACCGTTTACATACACTCTCGACAAGCTTGTCGCAGGGAAACAAACAAAAGCCAGCATTACTGCCTCCGTCGAGTCCGCAGAAGACGGTAATCTCATTCCCCTCAGTCCACCTCAGCAGCAAGAACGAGAAAAGAAAATGCAGGACAATCCCTTCGAAACCATCTACAACCTCCCTGATAACAACACCCTCCATATAATCCATCCCAATCTCTCCACCTCCGACTCCGCTAGCCACAAAACACACATCCCACCCCATCTCTCCCTACCAGGCATTCTACACTCTCTCCAAGCCGGTGCAAGCGCAGCTCTCGCCCGTGGCCCCTTCAACGGCTTTCCTGTAGCCAACACCCGCGTAACTCTAACTCTCGACGCGAAATCCCATCTTTTCCCCGAAACATCACCAACAGCGATTTCCATGGCTACCCGCGCTGCAGTATCAACTAGTCTGAGACACGCCTGCGATGCCGCACCAGCAACGCTCATGGAACCTGTTATGAACGTGACCATTTTCGTGAACGAGAACAATATGGGCGCTGTGGTACAAGATATCTCTTCTTCACGCGGTGGTCAGATCTTGTCACTTGATGGGTCGGATGATTCGATGAGTTCCACGACAACAAATGACGACGAAGAGGCACTGCCGCGTATTGATCCTACGCTCATCTACACTCCTCCAGATCCTTTTGCATCAGGAACGGGGGAGATGGGAAGCGGATTGAGTGATAGTCAAAGGCAGATTGTGGCAAGAGTACCGTTGAAGGAGATGGTTGGTTATTTGAACCAACTTAGGGCTCTGACAGGTGGAAGAGGCACGTTTGTGATGAGTGTGGATGGGTTCGAGAAGATGGGAACGCAGAGGCAGAAGGAGGTGCTTGATGCTTTGCGCGAGTTTTAAAGAGATATGTACTGTATGATTAGATCATGTAACATATATTGTATACGTTCACTCCAAACTGATAGATCTCAATGCTACGTAAGTAAGATATGTTTTTCGTCTACAGCGTCACTGCCAACACTTTGGTGTCGAAATGCAAAACCATGTATGTCTACGCCGTGAGTGCACTGCTCAGTCCCAAGATCCCCATACCCGCAAATGCAGAAACAAAGCATAGACGCCGAGAATTTGTCATATCTAGACTTTCTCCCAAGAGTTGCAGTGATACCATAGCCATGATACCTGCCGTGACAGCAAACATGCATCCGTAGATAGTGTCCATTCCCTCATCTGTACCATCCTGTCGGCCTCTGCCTTGAATCTTGAACCATAGTGCTGCTACACCTGCGCCTAGCGGCTGACTGACGCCTCCCAGGACAGCCGAAATCAGCATCGCTTTCCAGCGTGAGCCGATCGCCAGGTAGAGGGGTAGTGCTAGCGCGAATCCTTCGGTGATGTTATGGATAAACAATGCGAGGAAGATGGAGAAGCCCAATGTCGGGTTGGCGTGGTTTGTAGCGTACGTGATGAAGCCTTCTGGAATCTTGTGCAGGGCAATTGCCGTGCTTGTTTGCAGACCGAGAGAGAGGAAAGCGTTCGTTGGGACGTGGTGATGATGTTGTTGCGCCTCGTTGTCATGCTCGTCGTGGTCGTGATGATGATGGTGATCAGTGTGTGATGAGGTAGTCGAGGATGAGCGGCTGTGTTTTTGTAGTGGTTGAATTTCGTGTGTTAGACTGGATGTTGCGTGACCATTAGAAGGCGGCAGACTTGCAAAGGAGCTTTCCATTGTAGCTGGCCCAGACCGTGCAGGTACCAAGGGTGTTGTTTCGTCAACATCTTCCAAAATTGCTCGACGTTCATGCGGTCCTTGTGATGTTTGGCTCCTGCTCATTCCTGATGGCCGTGCAGTTGTCAAGCTTCCCAAGGACTTTCTCGATTGCAAGCGTGCAGGCCGAACTTCACACAGGTCGCCATAACATTGTCCACTATCCGTATCGTCACATGGCTTCTCGGCGCCAATGACTAGTTGAGATACTTTGGATGACAGCGACTTGTGCAGCGATGGTCTCCGGGATAGAGCGGCTTTCGAGTTATCGCTGTTAGTTCCGTATGAGGGTTGCTCGTCATGTCTATGGGCTTGCGGAAGACTGGGCTGTTGCTCCTGCATTGGTGGATGAGAATGCGAGTGGTGGTCATGACCTTTCCCTTGCTCTTCGTCACCATGCTTGTCGTCACAGTCCACAACGGAGTGTGGAATATACTGGTGCAGTATTCCGGAAAGAACTGAGATGCCAAGAGCACCAATCAGGAAGCAACCGATTAATGTTAATATCGCATTTCGTGGTGACATGCCTCCCTTCTTCAAATAGTCTTTTGCCGAGGGAAGCATGCTATATAGTGACGAGAATATCTTGAAATTAGGTCAGCAACTGCTGGAAACTGTATGACGATGGTGGTACGCACCATGACACCAAAGGACAGACTCAATCCCGTCGACAAGAATGCATTACTTTCTTCAATCTTGAAGTTCTTCTTGCCGGGGAAATATCGTACGATGAGGTCGACGCATATTATCGAAGCTAGCCGTCTTCAGTTTCTAGACTTGGTGAAGTTCTCCGAAACCGGCAGATTCAGTCTACCGTGGGGATAATCTTACCTCCAAATGTGCATGCTGTTTACGCGTTAGCCCGCCCGCTTCATCTGAGTCTTATGCAGTTGCCCGCGCAAACATACCTATGCCGCTGACCGCGGTCATTATCCACCCACGCGTGTCATTATCGAGAACCATATCTGCCTGCAGGTACGTTCCTTTGATGACGTCGTTGTGCCAAGCTTCCTGTCTTCGCGAGCAGGGGATAGTCGCGGAAATGCAAAGGCGATCAAATCGTTCTAGAGAGCGGGCGGCAGGCGATAAGAGATGATGAAGTTTGTATATACAATAAGGACCCGGTCAGATGAGGCGTCTTCTTCGCACCGTGTTGTCCCCCCTAGCGCGTATCTTGCATTCAAGGAAATCTTCGGGTTTAGCGGCTTGGCGATAAGGCTAACTGATACACACGTGTCGTCATTGGCCGAAACTCAGGTGGCAGGGCCTCGCGGCTCGCCTCACGTCGGATGGCAGTCACAATATCAGACGTCAAGAGGAAACGGGAGCACTTCAAAGCATCGCCTGGGGATGTCAAAAAGAATCTCAACTCGACCAAGAGACCGTTCGTCTTTTGCTTTTTGAGGAGAGAGGGCACATGAGCAGTGTCACTAGTGCCAAAACACGGAGGCGGTGAAAGGAAGACAAGACACTTGAAGTGTGACATCTGACATTGTATGACTGATGAATCTCGAGGCTACTCTAGCTCTGATATCAAAGTTGAAACTAGATGAAAGAAGACAACACCAGCACCTTGTCGACGGACACGCATTAAACTGGTAGTCCCAAAAATAACTCCTGAAGTGTCCCTAATGTACCTGCGCTGTGAAGTTGAGGGCAATGCTCCTCAATCGAGGCTTGTTGATGACCATGATGTAGAAATTCTAGAAAAGCTCAAAGAGCTAGAAACGCCGTATTTCCCAAACATCCCGCTATGCATTACAAAGAAAATTTTTGAGGTTCCAAAGTATGTGTGAAAGAAAAGTCGTCGTCAGTGGTCGTGTGTCGAGCAATCAGTACTTGGGGGGCCTTGGAACAAAGATCTTGCTCCACGCACCAGAGCCGTGTTCGGGCTTCTCATTGATGACAAGGAGGTTGGGCGATGAACAGTAACCACCAGGTGCAGCTCTCCGTGTTTGCTCCTCATAGTGACCTTCAAGATCGGCTTCGGTGGCGTTTTGTGCAAAAGCTGCAGCCGGATGGTCGTAGATCCAGACCTTTTCTGTTACGAGCTCACCAGGCTCTTCAGCGAAGCGCGCCTTCTTCTCAGGGAAGCCAACGAAGTAGTTGAGAATGTCGTGGATTGGAGCGTAGAGCTTCTCCGGGCGACGAATAAAAGAGAGCCAGCTCAGGGTCTTCTCGTCATATGCTACCCGAACGAACGGGTTCATGTATATCCTAGATTCCGCAGGCCGGCCTTTCCCAGACATTCGGTACTGGAGATCTGCGTTGATCAGACAGCACTCGGACGCTTCCCAGAACGTTTCGTTGTCGTGTCTAAACCGAAGTGGGAAGATGCTGTGATTAGGCGTCCCGTTCTGTGGGTTTGCGGGTTCTGGCTGTGCTCCGGTCCCCTCCTGGAACCACTTGGCTTCAAAAGCCACCATTCCGCCCCAGCAACTCCTCACCCGCACCGCATCTTTCCCTGCGAGCACATCGGCCCTGCTGGTCCCTGTTCCCGCGCTGGTGAACCACGGGAAGAAGGGCAAGCCAGTTATCATGCCGTCGAAATCGCGCGTGGCGAAGCGGTCGTAGAACTTGAAGGGCATGATGTGGTCGACAGCGCATGCCGCTGCATAGTCGGCACGTCCGGTCGAGTCGATGTTGGTTGCGAAGAGGAGTTGGGCAGCTTCAACGGGATCGAAGTTGACGTCGTTCAAGTACAGGACCTTGTCAAACTTGACGCCGTGTTTGTCGATCGGGGCAAGGGCTCGGTTGCGCACCTCGGCAAGGAAGGCGATGCGCTTGAGGCGTTTGTCGCCGTTGGGTAGCGTAATGTGGGGAAGGGTAGCGAGATCAAGATCTTCGGATACAATGGTGGAGTTGCCTGGCTGGGTGGTTAGTCGTCTTCAGTCTCGGACAGGGGGCGGAGCTCCTCACATTTGACCTGTTCGCGGAAGGAGATTAACGACTGTTTCGTCACTGGATCGGGATTGTCTTCATATATGCTCAGGTGCACATTCTCCTGTCCCAGCAGCTCTACCAGCTCCAGGACCTCCCTTCCCCATGCGCCAGACGTCAAGTCGCCCTTGGTCTCGGCAAGCGAGGCGGCTATGAAGATCTTCTCGTTGTAGGGGTTTGCGCGCCCCGTGGTAGTGGCTCGCTTGCGCAGTTCCTCGTAGTGTGGAGGCCTGACTGTGTAACTCGGGAAGAAGATGCCGGCGACCAGCACTAGGACTATGAGGATGTAAGGCACAGAGAACAGAGTCCAATAGACCAGCCGCAATATAGACCGTTTCCGGCGGCGCGGTGTGACGTAGTGAGCGTATACAGCGCGATCAGAGAGCTTGTTGACAGCATTGAAGCGGCTGCTCAGACGGTGCAGCCACGAGTGTCGCGACGAACCTGAGGCGCCTGGCTGCTGGCCAACAAGCTGTTCGTCGTCGCCATCGAGAGATTCGCGTGGAACCAGCTCATACTCGTGTATGGGCTGGCGGGATTGTTTAAGCATCGGAAGGATTCCTTGGTGAGTGAAAGGGGCCTAGTTACTCGGGTCCGCCATCAAGCGAGAGCGAGCGAGTACAGGCGTTGGGTGGAGGCGTGCAGCAATGTTAAGTACAACCGCAGAAAGGAGTGTGGTATTGTAGCTCGCAGAGTCACAAGGTGGGAAGGCGGGAGGGTGGTGGGTGTACGGCGCAATGTTGTCCAGCAGCTGCCATGCTCCGATCTTGGGGACGCACGCACGACGCGCAATTCACGGCCTGGTTGGGGTCTCCCTCATGCCAGGGTCCAGCACCCAGCCGAGTGGAGCAGCGTGAACGTGCACCACTCGCCGCCGACGAACCTAGTTGTGGATAACCTTTTAACCTTTGACATAGCCCCGGCATCCACACAATAGTCGCGAATAGCACGTCGCGACAGCGGGATAGCCGTTTCGAATGCGTCGTTGGAGTTACGGCGGGCTGATCTGACAAGGCGCTGTTTCCCAACGCTCCAGACTGCCCACTCGCACCACGCCCCCTAAACAGAGCATCGCGCGCGCCCAACTTCTTCCCGCTCCCAGCTGACCTCACCTCGGGACCGAGATGCATCCTTCGCCAGTAACGCCTCAAATTCGCACCATGAGCCTATTCAGCTGAAGCTTCTACCGGTTGTGGTCCGTCATTGCCCGCCATCAGAATCTGCACATGGGTCCTTGGCCTGTATCTCGGCCTCTTGGTCTTCGGTCATTGCATTGGCAATCGATTCAGTAAGCGAAGACACATCTACCGAGATCGCGCGGAGTTTTCCATCGCTCTAGGACGCGTACTTGGCGTATCCATATACGAATGCGTATCTACACCTGCACTGCCTGACATCACTCCACACACCTCAAACCACTGGCTTATGCCATTCCCAGGTTACGCGGACTTGTCATGCTAACAATAGGTTCTACCGTAATCTTTGGGGCTTGCACGCAGTATACATGTCACATCTCATCACAGCCTCGTCAAGCTACGCATTTGATTACAACACTTCCAACTATTGGTTGTTCCATGCCGTCTTGCAGGAGGACAGTGCCCGCACAACAACCCTTGCTGTGATCCTTTACGCACGTTACCCTCGCAAGACTATCCTCAGTTCCCCCGTTGCATCTACCACTACTCGCCCTTGTTCAGACTTGATACGGATGATCTAGGCAACTTGAGTGGATTTCGGATTTGTGAAATAGGAGATAGTGGCGTTGAGCTAGTTCTCGGTCCAGCAGCGTTGCCGGAAGCCGACGGTACCTTCGGTATACTTGTGTGGCCTACCGATGTTGGCGTAGATGGTTCTTCGACTACTGGAATAGGCATCGGAGAGTAGCGTGGAACCTCTTGTGTTGTTGGTGAGCGTTCCTTGCCTGGCTTCTGCTCGGGCTGTCGATCGTACCGTCCGCCGAACTCATCTCGGACACTAGTAACGACCCGTTCCCTCTCGTTCCCCTGGCGTGTGTCTTCGTTTAGCTTCGTGTTCGTTCTTCTCACAGCATGTGCTTCTCCTCCAGGTTGGTCCTTCCTTGGTCCGCTGTCTCTCGGACTTGTCGTCCGCTGTCTCCACCGCTCGTACGAGCGAGACCTCGCAACGCTAGACTCTACAACAAATGTCAGCATACATTTCATGAACAGTAACCTCCAGTCTACGAACGAGCAGCGGAATAAGGGTGAGCATTACTCGGTGCTGAACGCCTCCTATTCGTGTACAACCCCAATGGCCTCGCTGCATACCCGCTCATCGGCGTAAAAGGTGCGTACCTGGCTGAAGTATCCGGCCCATCAACCCCCATCGTGTCGCGATTCCATTGTCGAGGATATGATCTAGGAGTATTCCAAGCTCTCGTTGCCGTATGCGGATATTGCGGGAACTCGAACGGCAACGTGTCCGCGAAACCAGGCGTCGCTCGCGGTATCGATACCCGTGGAACTTCTTGCGTGGTGCCCGATGTGTCACTGGAGCTTGATGAGGACGATGACGATGACTGAGGGGCTGCCTTCTTCAGCGCCTCCAACACGATAGGTGGATACTCATCACAAATGTGGATAAAATCTACTCTCTCGACTCGACGTGCACGTCTAGCGGCAGACTTCGGCTTCAATGGAGGGGTCCGGGGCTGGCTGGCTTTGGGTATATCCGAACTCATCGTCTCCGTGTAGGTCTGTCGATAGTTAGGTTGCTCTCGGGGTTGACACTGAGGCGGATACTGAGTTGGGTGCTGAGGTTCAGGCATCCTTGCCGTCATTTGCGGAAACAGTTGTTGCGGTACCGCTGTAGGCATAGCGAAAGGTGGCATATGAGCCACCCCTTGAGTCTGCCATGGCACTGGGATCTGTTGCTGTATTCGCGACGGGTAATCGACTTGGTTCACACTAGGCCACTGTTTCTGTTCGAGCGAAGGATAGTATAACTGTCCGTATGACTGTTGCTGCTGTGGCTGCGTAGAGCTATTGAATTGTAGCATCGGCCTCGCCCAGCCTGCATCCGCATTACGAGCAGCGTGGCTCTCTCCATCTCGGTGCTCGTAGTACTTCCTGGTCTGCGATCCCTCAGGTCTTTCTCTCTCCCTCTTCGTGGATCTCGACTGGTGCCTCGGCGGCTCTCGCTGCTCCCCTTTTCCGATGTGTACACATGGCGGTGGCCTTGCTTGGCTTGAAAAGAGTGTGTGACACCAATGCTCAATTTCACAGCAGCTCTGATGGATGTAGCGATGAATGAACCAAAGGGCGACGTAGATCAAGGCTGCGCCGAAGACGCCTGCGAAAACAAGCGCGATGATGAGGTTGGTTGCTGCCATGACGGGCAATAAAGGAACAGGATTGAAGCAGGGCAAGAGCATTCAAACGCCAACAAAGGTGGGGAGTAGGAAGACAGTTGTATTGGAGCAACTGTCAACCAGATAGATATCTGCTGTCGTTTAGCTAGGCTGTAGTAAGTTTGTCGAGGACCAACGATGCAGCAAACATCCGGTACGTTGTGCAATATAGCATCCAACCATCGAACACACCAACGCAGTAGCAACACACGCCAAAACAAATGATTTTGGTAAGTTAAGTTTCAATGGCTCGATACTCAGCGCTTGTTTCCCATCTAGCATCGAGGGAGAAAGGCTCCCGAGAACTTAATATCAATTGCGGTACATGCTCGAGGGACAAACTTGTACAACGTCTTCTAGACGCTCGTGCTCGCATTAGACGTTACACGGTGCACGACTTCCCCAGGCGCCTCGATCATATCATGGTTATGATAGTTTACAGGCAGTATCGCTGAGTCGTCTTCCGTCTCCGTAGTTGTTTTCCTCTTCCATATCTCCAAACTACTCATGAACATGCTTCCTTTTGTCTCAGCCATTTTCACCATTTGACACCACTGTCTCCCGCAGGCGTGGCGTCCCACGGAGCTCCTCCACCTCCACCAGCGTCCCACCCTGCAACATCACCACCGGCGTTGCTCTTCGCCGCTCCACCTCCACTCCCAGCACTCTTCGTCGCTTTACTGCCTTGTCCGTTTTCGCTCTTTGCTCCTGCACTCTTTGCTCCTCCACTTTTACTCCTCGTCTTACTACCATCCTTGCTCCTCACCCCTCCACTAACGCTTCCTCCAGCCTGCGCCTCAACATCTCGCATGTGATCTATTTCTTGGAACTCCAGATCAACGGCCCGCCGACAGCTCCTCATCAGACAGTAACCGAAGAAACAGCAGAAGAAGGCGACGAGGATGAGTGTGAGTATGATAGCGTGAATATACTTCATCCTGGGTAGTTGGGTGAAACACGCGGCTTACGGGAGGGGCGATGAATGGTTTCTCTCGTTGTACGGGCGTGCGCAGACGTCGTGATGATGTATCGGGGTGCCAAATCGATCGATTGCGAATGTTCTGATTTGTCAGGAACGCTTTTCCTGGAGATGGGCAAGCTTTGGGTGATGAGATCAGTGCCGTGTATGTGTATCGCGACGGCGAGTCTATATGTAAACGCATAAAGTTAGTATATGTCTCACTTACAGTTCGTACAAGGACACTTACGGTGTGCATTCAGGACTGTGCTTCTGGGGTAAGCAGTCCGTAGCGTAGTAGTAGTCAGTGAAGAGATGGTACCGGTGTGGCTCTGCGGTCTAATCATAAACCGCCTTCACTCTCACTATTCACTTCCACTTCTAGTTCGTTGGCAGTATGCTGTAAACAGTTGTACACCGTCGGAACTGATTTGATGGTAGTTGACATATACTAAAGGTCGGTAAGAAAAGCGGTATCAGTAACATTGTAGATAATACCGCTAGGATCTTCAGCGTTTTTGAGTCGCAGGGCAAGCGCAGTGATTTCAACAATCTCTCGGGAAGACCCTGATAAGTGGTTGTGTAACGTGATGGATACCAGGATTGTCAGAATGATATTATTGATGTTGTATGGATATCGTGCGTGTTGTTACAGAGAAGAATGGTATCTACGGATCCAGCTTTCACGACCCAGCAGCAGTCTCCGCCTTGACAGGCGCAGAACTTTGTTTCCCACCCACAGACGGTGTAGCAACAACAATGGTGTCTCCATGTGTTTGTCTCACCGGCGTTGGCTGTTCCACACTCTGCACTTGTTCCTGGACTGGCGTCTGCAGCTTTGTTGCTGGAGTAGGCGTGGGCGGGGGTGGCGCCATGACCTTCCTTGATGGACTTGACATTTCCCAGAATCGTCTCGGCACGTTCTTTGCTGGTGGCATACCCAAAAACCCTTTGCCTCCCATACTCTCTAGTGGTCTCGCCCGACCTCCTACGTAGCATCCCAAATCACCACTCCATACGAAACCGCCTCCTACCACACCTCTTAACACACCGAAAGCGCGTGCATCACGATACGCGATACCTGTCTCGGGGTCGCGGTATCTGGCGATTGTGTTGGTAATGGGACAGAGCTTTTGTCCTGGTTTGAGCACGATTTCTGGCTCGGCTTTTGGCGCAGCGTTCTTCCGTGGTGGCTTCGGTGGCGCGATGAGCGTCTTTTGTATGTAGTCTGTAGCTTCGGCAGGAGTCCAGTTGAACAGCGCAGCATAGAGTTGCACCAAGGCTGACCTGTCCTTTTCCTTGAGGAGTGAGGCTGCTGTTCTGGCTCGCGATGATGTTGTTTGTGGGGCGTCAAGGTTGGGAAAGTTTGACAAGATTAGTAGATTGCGGAGAGCTCGACGTATGACTTTGCGTCGTGGTGGCTGAGGAGGTAAGGCTGGTTTTTGGAATTGTGCAATGAGGGCTTGGGTCCCTATTGCTGGATCGCCGTTCTGCTGAAGTAGAGAATGATCGCTGAGAGATGGGTGTAGTTGTTGGGAGAGGGTTGCTTGTGAGGTCGCATATTGGTTCTGGAAGGGAGAAGCTTCCGTAAAGGGAAAAGGAGGAAGTTCATCGCCATGCATGGACTGGGATTGCGGGTTCTGGGCGTATTGGTCGATGCCAAAGAGAAACGAATCTTGATTCGGAGGTGCGAACATGACAGTGCTAGGGTGTTGCATGCCAAACGAGCCCATGAAAACGTCACCGCCTTGTGATGCTGCTGCTGACCATGGTTGATGTGAACTATCTTGTTGTGGTGGCATCGTTGCTGGTATCGAAGGTATCTGTGATGAGCTACTGAACGGATCCAGAGAGGGAAATGATGGTTGCTCATCCGCATGAATTTCAGGCGCTTGTACTGGAAAGTTTGTCGACTCTGTCTGTGTCGTTGGCGCCTCCGCAGCCGTAGTTTCCTTGTTGAGCTTTTCTTCGAGATGCTCCAGACTTGGCGCATCCTTGCCTGTGTACTTGAGCTTGTCATCGACCCAGATGCCCGGACCGCTGTAGTATCGGTAAAAGGGCCCATCGATTTGCCGGTTCTTCAGGGCGTCGATCTTCGCCTGCCTCTCTGCTGCTCTGGCTTCCTCTGCCTCTTCCCATCTGTGTAGAGTCTTCTTGTTGATGCGCTCATTACGGGCAGCCTCAGCAAGCCGTTCGGCCTGCGTCAATGGCTTCTCCTTGGACTTTTCCTTCCGCGCCTCTGCGGCCTTCATCATAGCCAGGGTGTCATCGCGCCTCCGGTCCTTCTCCTTCAGCTTGGCTAGTGTGGCGTCCTTGTTCGCTACAGTCTGTTTTCGCATTGACATGCGCACCGGGCCATCCTCTTCGGTAGGCAGCCACGATGCCCTCTCAGACTTTTTCTTGGGGCGCGGAGGGGCGAGCGTGGGCGATTGTGCACGCGGGAGATCGAGTTTGACTTTCTTGCGTGTCACGGCGGCGACTCGTGCAGTGAAGGGGTTTGTGGCGGCTTTGCGCTTCTTGTTCCGCTCTTGTCGCTCTGCCTTGCGCAGTTCCTTTTCGCCCGCATCGTCGTCGTCGGCGCCATCGTCATCCTCGTCTGATGATGACGAATCCATGTTGTAGTCTTCCTGCTCATTGACAGCATCGCCCTGAAACTCCTCCTCGTTTGGAGCTTCCTCCCACTCCTCACCCCATTCCTCCTCCTCCTCGGCCGCATTGGCGAGCAGGTTGGCCATGCGGTTGCCGGCATTGGATCGCCGGGCTCTGGTCTTGACCATGAGCTCTGCGGGCGCTTCCTCGTCGCTCTCATCTTGGGATGCCTCGGACTCGTCATCGTGACGAGAGGGCGGGGCATCTTCCATGACTATCTGAGGTGGCTCCTCGGACATGGTGGTCGAGAGAGATTGGAGGGCAGGCGCGGAGGCAGGCGCGGAAGGTGCAGACGAGGCGGATGGAGCCTGAGGCAAAGCGAGTCGGACGGCAGCGATCAAGGGTGTGGTGCGGATTTCCAGAAGACTTCCATGAGACACGGATTATGCGCTCCAACTGTGGGGTGAACGACTATCCAGTATGGACTGCAGGGCGGCGGGGCCGTCTGGCGTTGCGGTATTATGCGGGTTTGGTGGGTTGTTTCAAGCGACGTGAGTGTACTGTGTCTTGAATTGCATGCAGTCGTCGGCGATGGATCGAGAGCACGCGCCTGCGAATGACGCGACGGGCGATTGAGACGTCGCCAAGTCAGCGGGAAAGACTTGGCACGATCCATGGGACCTGAAACATAGCGTGCTTATGATTGATAAACGTCGTTCCAAGGTACCGCACCATGTCATGTCAACGCCTCACTAAAGCTCTTTGGGTCTACATGGCCTGTCAGGCTGTCTACTTGCAGGACATGCAGGACAAAGGCATATCCGCAGTGGTCTGACGTGCATGTTTTCTAGAAGAGAGCTTGTTTCGATTGCGTGGACATGCATTGCAGGCTATAGTGATGTGATGTATTCCATACTCTAGTTGCAATTGAGCGGGCGCAATGCAGATTGCTGTGTAGAGACGGTAGAGAGAGAGGGCACTGCTGCAGCTTGGTCGAGGACAAAGTTTGATAGGCCGTCTGTCGGCATGCAGGACCCCAGGTGCACGTTAATCCATGTTTAGCAGCAGCAGGCCAATCACAGCCCCAAAGCGGCCAGAGGCACACAGTGTCCACGTCAGATTCTGGAGTAACGGACTTTCTCGACGCGCCTCTGTGTTTCAGACGGTAGCGGGCATGCGCTGCCCTCGTCCCGCGGCCACCGACCAAGGACACAATTGCAGGACTGGTAGTCGACGAGTTGCGAGCCCCTGAATCTCTACAAAAGCAATGCGCAGCTGCCGTGCAATAGAAACCCTCACTCGACGTTGGACAGCCCGCCCGCAACCGTAGCCGACAGCGTAGATCGTGCCCGTAACCTGTAACGTGCTTGTTCTGGCAGCCCTCCCAATTGAGCTAGTTTCCCTCGTGTTCCTGGTGGCTCCCCATTTCTATCAAGCGAACCTCACCACTCCCTCTGTTCTGTTGCGCATCGCTCCATCGCTCCATCGCCCTCTCCCCCTCCCCTCCTGCGACAACTAGCTGTATCGGCCTCGTCCCGAGCTCGGATGCTTAATCGGCCATCGTCCGCTTAATCCTATTACTTCTGTTCTCCAGGCACTCCGGTGATCTGTCTATTCCGCCCGCCTGCCGCTGTACAGGTCCATAATCGACCACCGCCAATCCTCCGTCACTCCTTGTCGGCAAACAGCCCGCCGTCTGAAGCTCCACCATCGCATCCGGACTGGATCCAACGGGTGTCGTCGTCTCCACCGTACACACAGGCTGCGCTGCGCTGAGCCCGGTCTTGCTGGCAATAATCCTCTCCGCCTCACATTCCTTTGGCCGGCACCAACCCTCCTTCGCACCATTACCCTGGCTTTGGTAACCGAGTCACCACGACTATTCTTCCCGTATAGACTACCCAGGTCACCACAGGGTCTGTAATCCATAATGGCTCCCACCAACCGCCCCGAACACCACATCAACCTCAACTACATCCCCCAGCTGCCCCAGCCGCCACACTCGGGCTCCTCGACCGGCAACACCTCGCCTGTCGAGCCCCCCAACAGCGGCTCTCTCCGCTCCTATGGCAATGCCGCCAACCCACTGGGTGCCGCCGCTGCGGGTGCGAGGCTCGGCAATGGCTCCCCCTCGCATGACTATGGCGGCCGACTATTTTCCAAACGGTATGTCGCACCCTGAAACAAGTCTCAACTCGAGCTAACACCCTGACAGTGCACGCGAGATTCAGGCACAGGAGGGCCTAACTCCGCAAATGTGGGGACCTCCTACCAGCGGCAACTCGACGCCGCTGCGTGAGACTATCCCAGAATCCCCCAACAGCGAGAACTTGAGCTTCCCAGACTTCAACAACGCCATGCCAGAGACGACACAAGCTGCACCCGCCTCGGGTCGCCGTGCCCGTGCTGGCACTCTGCCCTCACGCTTCTCCCCGTCCGCTGCCCCTCCCGGCCTCATGTCCGGCACCTCTCTGCTCCCCAAGAGCTCGCGACCAACGCCCTCCACAAGCCCTTTCAAGCCTGGCCCAGGTACACCGACCGACAGCTCGAGCTTCAGTGCTCTCGGATCCACAAACGCTGCTGCCAAGTCCGCACTGCTCTCGCGTCTCCGTGCTGGCTCAATGCCCCAACGACCGGGTGCGTACTTGCCTCCCTCCAACTCTGCCTTTGGTAACCCCATCTTCTCCAATGGCTGGTCAAGCGGCCGTGACCGCAGCAGCACACTTCACAGCATTGCCTCTGTACCCTCCAACGGGCCTGGCTCGCCTAGGTCTTCCTTCTCGCGTGATTCGCTTGCCGACACTGATGTCAAAACTCTTGACTACCTTGGTTTAGTCGATACGCCCCAGCCTGCGCGAGCAACCTTGGCTCCGTCCGATATTGAGCTCCTCCTCGAGAGCCAGAGGAACGCCAACAGCCAGAACTCGAACAGCGCAAACCGCTTCCGATCCTACTCTGTCAATGCCAAGGAGAAGTATGCCGAGGACGAGGAGGACCAGTATGGTGGGTACAGCGGTGCCATAACCCCTGCAGAGGCCAATGCTCTTCTCATCCACGAAGCTGTCCGCCAGCACAACCTTGAAGTGCAAGCATTCGCGAATCTCGCTTCCAACGCGCGTCCGCGAGCCCGTACTGCTGGTGTGCTAGATGCTCCTTCGCGGGGCATGATGCGCAACTACCTGCCCGCTATGGGACGGTTCGACAATGGCATGGGATCTGGTGACCTAACTGAGGACGCCGAGTACAATCTTACTGAAGCTGTCAAGAAGCTTCACTTGCCAGGTAACAACCTGGGTGATGATGGAACTTTGGAAGGACCTACTCGATCACTATGGCTTGGCAACATCCCTTCATCAACCACGGTTTCATCGCTCCAAGTTATCTTCGCCCAGTACGGTGGTATCGAGTCTACCCGAGTGCTTACCCACAAGAACTGCGGTTTTGTCAACTACGAGAACCTCGAGAGCGCCATTCAAGCGAAGTCGACTCTGAACGGAAAGGAGATCTTCCCAGGTGCTGGTCCCGTCCGCATTGGCTACGCTAAGATCCCAAGTGCAGCGGCCACCCCTGGTCACAACGGTCTGTTCCCTTCACCGAGCCCTGACCCAATGTCAAAGGCTCAGGCTGAGGGCGCGGCTGGCTCTGCCACTGCTACCAAGATGAACAGCATCCCCGCAAACGTTCCTTTGACAACCCCGGAGCTCAGCGACATCCGCACCGACATTATCCAGATCGTGAAGGAGTTGGGCGCCACGGACGATGAACAGTCACGGATCACTAACAAGGTTGAGAAGGCTGTACAATTCAACAACTATGTCGACGAGATCCCGTCTGTTGAGGAGCCAAGCCACACTCGCATCCACGATGCTCCCAGACTGCGAGAGATCCGCAAGCGCATCGATAACGGGTCCTGTTCAAAGGAGGACATTGAGAACATCGCCATGGCCATGCTCCCCGAAATCGCTGAGCTGTCCTCCGACTACCTCGGTAACACTGTGGTGCAGAAGCTGTTCGAGTTCTGCGAGGAGCCTACCAAGGAAGCCATGCTTCGCGAGATCGCTCCCCATCTTGCTAAGATTGGAGTGCACAAGAACGGAACGTGGGCTGCCCAGAAGATCATCGATGTATCCAAGTCCGAGACTATGCAGAAGATGGTCGTGGATGCTGTTCAGCCATATGCCATGGCGCTCTTCCTCGACCAGTTCGGTAACTACGTTATGCAAGGCTGTCTTAAGTACCAGAAGTTCAACGACTTCATCTTCGAGGTCATGTTGGGCAGACTTTGGGATCTCGCTCAGGGCCGATTCGGTGCCCGTGCCATGCGAGCTTGCTTGGAGAGCCACTATGCTACCAAGGATCAGCAGCGCATGGTAGCTGCTGCGATTGCTCTCCACAGCGTCCAGCTTGCGACCAACGCGAACGGTGCTTTGCTCCTGACTTGGTTCCTCGACACTTGCACCTTCCCAAGGAGACGTACCGTGTTGGCTCCTCGTTTGGTCCCACACATTGTTCACCTCTGCACACACAAGGTTGCATATCTCACCGTGTTGAAGATAATCAACCAACGCAACGAACCAGAGGCCCGCGATACTATCCTGCAAGCATTGTTCTTCTCTACCAATGACCAGGTGTTGGAAAGCATCTTGGCCGACCAAAACTGCGGTGCCACTTTGATCTTCAAGGTGCTGACCACTCCGTTCTTCGATGAGCAGATTCGGGCGGACGTGGTACAGAATGTGCGCAATGTGCTGCTGCGCATCAAGGCGCAGCCCCAACAAGGCTACAAGCGACTTATGGATGAGGTTGGTCTCTCCACTCGTGGCGGCCCTGGTCATCGTGAACATTCCGCAACTCGACCAGCATCTAAGGATAGCATTGCGTCTGGACCTCCGAACCCTGGAAACTTCTATCAAGGAGCGGCTCCTGGCTACGACCCTGTCGCACTCCAGCGCACAGCAAGCATGGAGTCCAACGGTTTCGAGCAGTACCCAATGGGTGGTGGACCCATGTACATGCCAAACATGCAGGCTATGAACAACCAGCAGCAGATGCAATACCAGCAGCTCTTGGCCCGACAGGGTCAGTTCTATCCTCAGATGAACGGTTTCCAAGGCCCAGTTCCGGGTATGGATGCTTATCGCAACGCCTCGCCCGTTGCAGGTCCCGGTAGCTTCAACGGATCACCGATGATGCAGCCCGCCAACCTTGCCGGCCAGGGCATGCCAGGCATGTACCCACCATACGGCATGTATATGCCACCCCAGCACCAACAGGCCGCTGGAGGCAATCAGCGACGTGGCAGAGTAAGCAGAAATGCGTCCCCTGCGAACAGCGTTCGCCGTTAACATCTCTTTAGAGATAATTGCCTCGCCTGAGGGTTTAGATTCTCATCTTTTCTTAGATTCTGTGGTGTTGCCAGGAAAAGCAGCACTATCTTCTTGTATATGATTCGGATCTTCACCTACACGCATCTGCTAGCGAGCATTATGCAAAGAGACAGACACCATCCTTCCCAATGTTTCTCCTTGCGTCTTAGGACTTTACGAATTTCATCTCTATGTACTCAATCAGACATGTTACTATTGGCCCCATGTCGTTTGTCTCGTCACTCGCTTAGCCATTGCTTGGTGTTTTGGGGCGTACTTTGAGCAACGTTCTTGTATGTCGGTTCCGAGTGGAGGGCTTACCTTATGGGCTCTGTCGATCGATTGGATGATCATTGTATCGATATAAACGCGCATATGAGTGTTCAGGTGGAATGATATATGCGATGCAAAAGTACCACTACATGGCATGATCTGGGAATGGGATATTGGACACCTCTTTTCTTCCGTGTCCTGTATGGAAAACAGACCGAGCTCGAGCCTGCGAGCTAGATAGAATTGAGGTATTTTTACTATATCAATCATCATCTCAATACTGCAACAATCTACGTGCATGACCAAATACCACTTAAAGATGAGTCGATTCACCCTGTCCTTGACTCCTGCTAATTAAGGTTGGTATGCGCCGCGAGATGTCGGACGCCTGTGGCGGAAGGAGACCAAGGAAAGTAGTAATAGGAGCAACAAAAGTCGATTTGAGCCGCCCCATCTATATGAATTGAGCGTGGGTATCATATACTGCCTGAACGCGCCGGAACCCCGTGATAAACGCCTATATCGAAATAACGACGATACGCTAATGGTACACCAGAAAATCTCGTGGTTAAGAATTAAAAACCAACTCCATCCATCATTGGCCGTTCAAGCCTGAGTCGCTATATTTCCGCTTTTTGGCCTCACGCTCACCGTCCTGGGGAGGTCGGTATTGGTCCAGCTTACCTTGCAGGCGGTAAGTTTCCCGCTTGATATTTTCTGCGTTGGCCAATAAATCCATCTCGGTTACAGGAGCCTCGATACTAGCCAGCACGCTGTTAACTGTGCTGATATGGTTCGCGTCCTTTTTGTCGTCTCGCCAGCGTGGTGTACCATCTGCCTCCGCCTTGTATTTCCATTGCCCGCGTTCTGTACGGTAACATTCTATTATACGACCGTCGAGACGTTGATTGAGCGATTTGAGGGTCTCCCACTCGGCTGGATTGAGAGACAGGGTGGCGAACACCTCGTAGTGGTTCGAGTTGTGCTGAACGAGCAATTGAATGGGGCTGGGCATTGCGTCGTAGTCGGTAATGGGGCCATCTTCACCGTCTTGTGGGTCCATGAGTGGAAATTCGCCAAGGCGGAGCTTGAAGTCGATGGTGTTCTCGTGGGGAGGCTTCCACTTGAGGATATGCCTATCGGTACCAAACTGGTAGGGCGTAGACACGCAGGTGAAGATCAGGCCGTCATTGCCGTGTCTGAGGTTTGGAAGGATATTGCTGAACATGTCCTCGAGCTTATACGCAGAGTAGGTCTTCTTCCCCTTGAGAGCGAACGGCTTGAGGTCGGCTGGCGTGATGTTCTTTCCAAAGGTCCTCGTCAAGTTGGCCTCGTATGGTTTGATGACCCAATCGTGTAATCGACCCAACCGCTTGTCCAGTGTCCTGCCCGTCACGTTTGTGCCATCCACCGCCAGACAGTCGAAAACGTAGAAGTTGAGGCGCGGCGCAGGCTCGCCCGGGTATTGATCGTGAACCAGCTCGCCATCGAGGATGGTGCCGAACAAGAAGGGCTCGGGTTCGTTGGGGTGCAGATAATGACGTATCCGAAAGGGAGGCTCGACGTTGTAGTAGTTGTTCTTCCTGTCGATCAGAAAGGTCACAGGCTCGAAAGCGCCAGTTGGTCCTTCCCGCCAGTGTAAGAAGAGGAGGCAGCGCAAGCCGTCCGTCTTCTCGCACATGAAGTATTCGTTGCGCTGAAGCTCAGTAACATGTTCGCGTGCGAATGAGACGGGTTGCGCTCCGGGGAAGCGCAGGTTTTCGCGTTCGAGGAGTTCGGCAACAGTTTGTTTGAGTGAATGCGCCTCGTCGTTCGGGATCTGGAAGCCTGGGATCTGCGGTGGCGGCGCGTGCGATGGTTGGACCGTGGCCGGCATCTTGGGAAAGCGGAGCCCAAAGTTATTCGTGGCTCACTATAAGGCAGGAGGTCAGGCGCGAGAAGGTCGGTGTATGGCAAGGCTACAAGAGTGATGGTAGCTGTACAACCGTCGCGCAACACGACTATGAGCTCCACGCGCTAGTCTCCAGGGTCTGCTTACGTAACAGCTACAGGATAATCCACTCTGGTCTTGCTCACCTCTACTGGATACATGATATGTTTGCAATCAATAACGTTGTTCCCTTTCACCGTCACAAACCGTATCATATGCGCTTACTGTAGTGTTTGCGGTATACCGACTGTTTCATTGACCTTACTGTAACCACGTTGCTCGCAACGGATCTCTACCCTATTCTACACATACGATGGGTTACCTACCCCCAGAAATATGGGCTACTATTTTCTCATACTCCAAAGACCCGTACCATCTCTGGAATGGCTGCCGTCCCGTCTCTCACTCTCTCAGAACCGGCGTCGAGATTTACATCAGAAGCACCTTCCTCACGACCCACCTACGCTTGTCTATCGAGTATCGGAACAGAAATATAGACTGTCGTCGTGCCACCTTCATGAGATATTCGCCAGATCACCGACGTTTCTATTTCGACATAACTTGCGTTCAATAGTCATCTATAAACTCTTTACCTACAGACCAAATGCAGCTCTATATCATTCGGCATCATGTTCGACAATTACTGAAGCAATCCAAGGAGCAGTGGCTGTGCGATCGCCCCAACACGCAGATGGAGGTATATGCAACCTATCGAGGTGAGAGTGAGAGCTGTTTGAAACTATTGTTCTGTATGAGGCTTGCAGACGCTGTCGATACTAGTCTTGCGGATAACAGTGAGAGTGGATTCTTGTTTGAGCTCGACTTGGAGAATATGGTTATTTCTTTCGATTGGAAAGAGTTAGTGAGGACTCTCGTAAAGAGCACCGGTTCAGAAGGAAGACGGCTATATGGCTTCTCATTATCACATTGTCATCTGTGTTGAGCTCTGGATACGACTATTATGCAGAAGATGGGTGAAACTTCATAAACGCAACCTATACAATCTATACCGTGTTTCTCTATTTTGAACCTTGGGATTTTGTAGCTGTATAAAAGGTCCTGCCTGTAACGGATGTCAATCAAAGGGTATGTGGTCTAAACGGTCAAGACGCCACCCTTCTTCTGTAAGTATACAGGAGAAGTCGCAGGTGAGGCAACGGCCTCGTTCGTGAGGAGATGCGGGTTCGAGTCTCGCCATATCCAGATCCTTTTTGCAATCTGTGCTGTATCTATTCTTCACAATACTTCTTCTCGTATAGCTGTCAGTCTTTTATATCTTCGATACTTCTCATATGAGAACATACACTTATCAGTCATCTCCTCTGACAAATAATCTCGAACCTATTGATCAAGATTCAATTCTTTCCATGTTAGCATCCAAATGGCTGAGTCGAAAAAAGTCGTTGGCTGACATGTCCTAGTCTTTTCGTAGATTGTGTTTGCTAGGCTAGGCTAACATTTCGTTGGACAGTGTGACTTAGTGGTCAGAAAAGAATCCGTTTGAAGGAATGGAACTAAAGTGCTAGATGACGTTATGAGTCTTTGTGACATACAGTAAGTAGCAGTTGGGGATGGACCACACCTGAGATCATCGTCTAGGCAGCCCAGCACGGCCCGGTATGTTATCACGATTCTTTGTTGCCAGCAGGCCCAATATTTCACTGGAATGCACGAAATCGCCTTCTTCGGGAAAGCGTTTTGACAGGTGAGCGTTCGCTCGAGTTGACGTTCCCTTGTTTGACCTGGAATGGTTGCCTTACCTTTCCCATTATGTATATATTTTCTACACCTACTAGCCCTTGCAAAAATACCCTCCACATCATTGACTGTTACTATAATGTTTTGGTCAGCGTTTCTTGTCTTTTCGGCGTCAGCCGCAGCTTGCCCACCGCCCCTTAACAGCTTCAAGTATCTAGCCAATGACACCCACACAACATCACAGATGATCTCCAGTCTACTCATACCTCGTGATGAATCCTCGTCACTGAATCTTAGATGGACTGAGATCGTGACCATGGTATATTTGGATCCACACCAATATGCGTTGTCTAGCTAACCGTCGTGTCAGACTGGACGGCCTCGAACGACATGGCCCAGCGGCCTTATCACATACTGTTTCGAAGACATGAACGCCCGCGTTCACTTCGCCGACGACATTAATGCAGCTTGGAAACTCTGGACTGACAAGATTGGGAACGCTGGCAGTGAGAGCGGCCACTCACTTGAGTTCCATGAGTACCAAGTCCAACACGATCAATGGCCCCACTGCTACAACCAACGCAAAAAGGATTCCGATCCTTGGATCTGGAATGATGCTTATCCGCATGATGTTGCCGTTATCCAGGAGTCCACGAGCCTCGATGTCCAGGCTTCTTCGGTCACGGGTTACATACCAGCGGAATGGAGTGATTCGCCGGGTCGCCATGGTACGCATCTCAGTATCAACTTCAAGAACAAGTACCCGGCGGAGTATTGGCACTCGACTGTTGCCCATGAACTGGGTCATATCTTCGGTTTCTGGCATGAGCATCAGCGTTATGATCGTGATGACTACGTTCACTTTGACTGTTCTAAAGTTCGGGGTTATGCCGCGGCCAAAGCCAAAGTCGACGCAGCGAAGAAGCACCGAATGGAGCAAGTTTGCAACGACTATCGTTTAGCTCTTCTCTACGATTTCACGGCTATCCAGGATTTTGATACAATCGACCATGTTGACCCCGTTCACAAAGATGGAAAAGCCTGGCCCTTGTTCATCAAGCACGATCTGGAGTTTGATGATGAGTCTATCATGTTGTATAGCTCTGCAGAGTTTGCCAACGACGGAGCAGATGTAGACGATGTAATGCAAGTGCCGTTGGCGTTCTGGAAGGACCGCGGTATTGGGTTCGGTCCACCGAGTAGAGTCGAAAAAGACAATCTGGAGATTATTGACGTACGGTGGAAAGTTAGCGACGGGGATTTGGAGGGTGTAAAGCACCTCTATCCTTACCTGGGGAAAGACGAAGATGGCCAGGACTAGATATGGAAAATAAAAGCTGTGGCAGGTCAAAGGTCTAAGCACTGTGATCTTGTATGGCCGGCCAGTTGTCCGTAGATGGCAAATGAGATAAAGCCGGGTGACCGGAAAGAAGTATTATAGATTACAAGTGTATGTAAATGGCGTATTCGTCCGTTCGATCAACGAACAAAGCCACGTTCGTGAGGAGTGAAAGATCTTGAGTGGGGTATATAGCGAACCGAATCAAACCGGCCCAGTACGTCGCCGCGCAAGATCGTTTCGTCGTCCTTAACGCCAGTAAAAAAAATCCAAATAGCGCGTAATCTTACATATCTTACATATCTTACAACAAAGTCGAGCAAGGGCTCGCAGAAGGATCCAAACGCCTCGCTGAAAAATGATGCCGGTCTCCGTAGTGTTACATATGTTACAGTGGCGTGTTCTCATAAACACGTCTAGGTTGCGTCGGTACGTTGACGCGTCGGATCGTTCGTCAAAAGTTTAGAAAAAACCCTTGGTCTTCCCAGTCTTTGGGCTCATTGGTCCAAAAAGCTTCATATCCGTATTCATCTTCTTAACGAACACCAAATAGGCCTCTAACGCTTCGTCCTGCGTCTTGAATGTCTTGTCGCGGTTCATCCACATCTTCAGATATTTATCCGCGCCGACATCTTTCAGCGCCGCATACCAACCACCAGAGGATCGCTGTCGCAAAGATATTGCCAGGTTCTTTCCCTTGAGACCGGTGACGTTAGATACTTCTCGAAGGCAGGCAGCGCGGAGATCACCGTATTCGTCGTCGTCTTCGAGGGAAGAGGATGACGAGCTTCGCTCCATTTTTGGACGAGACGAGGTGCGGGTATCGAGCTTAGGGCGCGAGGTCTTTTTAGGTTCGGGCGCAGGTTTTGGCTCAACCTTCTTCTTCACAGGCGTAGCAGTCTTAGCTGCGCCCCCAAAGAAAGACCCAGAAGGCTTGGGAGTCGGAGGAGTCTTCGGTCGCGAACTTGACTTCTTGTCAGACTTGGAAGATTTTTCAGCCTTTGCAGCCTTCTCAGCTTTGTCAGACTTCGACGATTTCTCGGTTTTCTCAGATTTTGACGTCTTTTCCGACTTTTCGGCCTTGGAAGGCTTCTCTGACTTTGAGGGTGCAACTGGTTTCGATGCGGTAGCTGTCTTGGACGATGATTTCGATTTCGATTTCGATGGCGTTGGCGGCGTGGTGGTCGCTGGTGGCGATGTTCTCGTGCTGAGTGAAGCAAAAGGACTCGGCCATGCGCCTATGGCTTTTGGTGTTTCCTCGACCACCGGTGCGGCATCTTTCTTTGACCTTGCGTCGGCTCTGGATGTTTTCGCAGGCGTCTTGGGTTCTGGGGTCGCCTTCGTAGCTGCAGCCGCCTTCAGTGGCGCGCCTCTCCTTCCTGTCGCGACCGGAGGTGGTGGTGCGGTATCGGGTATGGCAGCTTCTCCAAACAACTGCCGCGCTCGGTCCTTCACACTGGGAAACATGGTATGGGAAAATCTGGGGTTGTATGACTCGGGCCGAATATACGCTTGCTGGAATACAACGTGCTAAATGCGCGAGTACGATTAAGAGATACTACAAATACAGGAAACACAGCGCGCGTCAACACTATGCGAAATGGAAGAGGTAAACACGATGTGGAAGAGACAGACACATTACTGGGGGCCTCGGATGGATACCGATTATTCTGGTGCCTAGTTGTGCAACCATGACACGCCCCTTCTCGCATCGGCCAGCATGCGAACAGGCGTTCACATCCAAGATGTGCGGAAATGAGCTAGTGGCCGCTTCTAGAACGCCTGAGAGCATATCGGAATGCGGGTGGCAAGCGGGTCCAACAGGCGCAAGTTGTTGTTTTCGTGTACTCGTCGATTGACTCCACTGGAGACAATCTCTGCAACGCGCATGATATGTGGGAATCCATTGCTTTGAGGACCTTCGCAAGCGCTTCCAGACAATTGATAGCAGAGTCGTATCATCACAAAAGGACGTACATTACGATGACCGTTAGGGTTATTCGCATTACGAGCCACCGTGGCCCCTTTTCCGGAGCGCCGGGCTGTGCGGGAGATTGGAAACGGGAGGCAGGATGGCGCGGCAAACATCAGCCGGATGAGCACAATGGCCACAACACAGAGCAAGCGGGTGCTTGTAGAAACTGCTCCATTGTTGTCAGACGTTCCATGATGGATATGAGATGAGTGACGATAAGGCGAGTTATCTTGGGATGCATGGTGCATGATGCACGTCAGTTCAACGTGCAGCGAAACGGGGATCGGAATGCGGTATAGCGGGCTCCACCTCCCTAGCGTACCCTATTTGCAGCCACACCTCTCATCCCCCGTACTTGTCCGTCACTTACCCAGTCGTTCACGATCACTGAATATGTTCCCACAACTTACGAATCAGTCTGCTGACATTTAACATTCGGAAATGCTACAGTGTCATGATAGATGAAAAGACTCTCTTGACCACTTTCATCGCTAATTAAGGCCATTTGCGGATCCCCGCAAACTCCATGAATCCCAACGGATCTGCTTTTCAGCCGTTATTACAATGTTCACTCAGAATCCCGGGGTCATAATTGCTCACCAGTGACCTGATCAGCAATTTCAATAGACTAGCCAGTAAATTGTACGTAAGGCTTGAGAGACTAAACATACGGGCCAACAATTTCCTGTGTTTTGATCCAAACCTTGTCCTGAGCGCTGACCCTTAACTTCTTCAACTTTTCCTCATTCAGCGTCGTCTCACAAGTATGATGCACCAGAAACAGACTCCCTTCCCTACCTCCTTTTGTATTCTTCCCCGCAACAACGCCTGCACCCAATAGTATACCCTTTCCTCCAAAAGCCGCACTCGTAATTTGATAGAGGTACCTCTCGGCGGCTTCCTCCTCCCCATACGCCATAAGCCATATAACCGGATCCATGAAAGTCGCAGCCAACCATGAACCCCAGGATCCTTCCTGAAACCCACGGAAGAGATTTCCCGTCCGCACGCCACCTGGATGACAATGCATGAAAACAATGTTTTTGTTCTCTGGCATCTGAGCGATACGTTCTAGTGCGAGCGTATTCATGTTGCCCATATGTCTTACCGAAGCCATGGCTCCAAATGCACCTGGGGCTTCGAGTAGGAGATCGTCTGCATTGAAGAAGTAGTCACCTTCCATCCCACCCGAACGTATACTCATTACGCGCGCGCGACCTGAAGAGCGTAATAGAGGAAGGAGATTTTGCGTGAAGCAGATCCGCGAGTAAAACTCCAGTGCGTGGCTTATCTCCAAGCCTTCGGATGTATCTGGAGATATAAGTCTTCGACTCATCATTGCTAAGGGTAAAATACGTAGGAGCAACGTACTATGCCTTCCACTGAAATTCACATACCCCGCGGTCATGAAGAGGAGGTCGATACTGCCCTCGAGTCTCTTGATGCGATCGCAAACCCGCTGTACTTCGGATAGCAACGAGATCTGCCCTTCAACCCATATGATACTCGCATTCGCATTCGCCAGATGTAGTTCCTCGATGAATGGTTTGAATGCTGCCTCACTCTCTTGCCTCCCAATGACATAAGCTTTAAAGCGTGTTCCGAGCCTAGTTATTGCATTGAGCGTAAGTTTTCCTATGCCCGATGTTCCGCCAACGAACACTGCAACACGAGGTGCCGACTTCTCATCGATCTGGGCGTTATTCTCTTTGATCTGGGAAATACGAACCATGTTGATGTCTGGATTATGTAGATTCGAATTCGTGTCCTGAGGATATACGGTCTTTGTATACCATGTAAGCACTGAGAGTGTCTGCATACGTAGATGCGGAGGCCTGAATACGCCTTGTGGACGAATCCCGGACCACATCCAAAAACAGGCGGGTCGTTATTTCTGTACACATTTTAGGTAACGGGCTGTCACACAGCATGCATGTGGCGCAACCGAGGTTTATGTGTCGTTACTGTTTGCGATTTCCCGTTGGTTGCTCGACAGCTTTCCCTTTTGGATAAGCATAATATGTCCCATTACGTTGTACCTTGATCTTCAGCGACGCTGTTATATCCAATAGATGCGCGATATGTAAGCCTACAGTCCAATTTTATAAAAATGATATTCGCTGTCATATACCTGTACCTAAACGCCTGCGTAGACTCTTGTCTATAAATGCTTATGCTTGCGCACTGACTGGCTTGATGCCCACTTCAGCCATCTTTGTGGCCTCCACTTCCTCTACCGGGCTATCTGCCCTCTCCACAACATCCGTGAGACCAAGGTACTTCAAGTTCGCCGACCAGCCTAGGTCCTCACCAAAGTATCCCTTCATGACCTCAACACCGTATTTGATGCCATTCTTTGGGTCGTAGGTCAGACATTGCTTGCCAACCGCTAGACCAATGACAGCGTCCCATGCAGGTAGCTCTGTCTTGATATATTGTTCGGATGAGGGAGCAAGTTCGGAGTTGAGTATGTCGGAGTAAATATTCTGTGCAGCGGCTTGTCCCATGACTGTCGCGCTGCCTGCGCGCTTGATGCCTGACCATGCGATTACATCGCCAACGCCGAAGTGAGATGATGAGTTCGCGATAGTGTCCTTGAACATTAAGGATTGGTGTACCATAATCTCTTTGTCCTCGTTCAGGCACTCCGTAGGTAGGACATCGGTGGTTGGTGTGCCCTTCTTCGTTGAGTCAATGACGAAGTCTGCTGTTATCGTCTCGTTGTTCGCGAGCGTGACGGTGAACTGGCCATTTGGTAGCTCTGTGATGGTTGCCCGGTTACCCAAAGCCAGCTTGACACCCTCTTCTTCGAGCAAGATCTTCGCGCGTTCTTTGACATCTGATGGTAGTGGCTCTGAAGAAAGAACTTCGTTTCGTGAGTGCACTAGTGTGACATCAATCTGTGGGTAGTACTGCTTGATCTCAGCAGCAAATTCGACACCGACAGCACCAGCGCCAATCACTACAACTCTCCTGCCTTCACATTTCGATGGGTCACCGCCGGTGATCTTCGCGATAAAGGCTTTGCTGTCTGTTTGGTACTCTTCAAAGCTTCCAGACTTTGGCACCGCAGGGAAATGTCTCTTCAGGCCGGTGGCCATGACAAGGTAGTCATATGCCTGCTGTTGGGTCTTGCCATTTCGGTCGCACCATTCGGCGACCTTAGCTTCAGGATTGATGTTCTTGACACTGCCGTGCTTGAAGTGCAGATTCGGGTGCTTTAGCTCGTTGAGGTGGCTAAACCTCTTCCACATATGGGTTGTGTACTTCGGTGTAACATGGGCGAGCGGTGCGCCAACCGAGTGGACTGTAAGACACAAGCATTAGTAGAAGCTCTTGTAGCGCGAGGTGATGAGGTGGAGACAGGGAAGATGTTAAGCCTCGGCTAGTGGGGCAGAGTGACGCACAATAACCATCGCGCTCATCGATGACAGTAATTTCAACCCCTCTTCTACTTCGCACACCCTGGAAATCTGGACCTGGGTATACACTCTGTCGGGCCTTTCCTTGGGAATAGTCGAGGAGGTTGATGGCAGCAGAGATACCACCGTATGCGCAGCCGACAATGAGTACGCGATGGGGGTTTGATAGGCTAAGGTTGCCCAGTGTGTCTGTAACGCCTTGAAGCCTCATTGTGAAGATTTGATCTGATAAAGGAGGGGTCGTGGGGGTGTAAGAGAGATGGGTGGGTGGGATGAGAAGAAGATGATCTGATTAGATTGCGGAATCATGTGGCAGAACGCCCACTTCTATATGGCGCCAGCGCACCACACAGACATCACACCGACATCGGAAATCGACTAACAATCAACTTGCCGGTTGCTAGGCTGTACACGAGTTCACGAGCGATCCACTGTCGTCGCGGACGCGGTGTCTCTGGATGCGATTGGCGGGAAGCTGTGCATCTTATCAGATCCGAGCATCATCCGGTGCAAATTTTTATCTGATGCCCCACCACGCCTGCACCTTCCCATCCTTCGCGTCCTGCCAAGGTGACCATTCAGGACACAATCGCTCAACGGTATTCCGAAACAGCCTAATATTGGTTACATATGCACCGGAACGCCAAACTGACCTCGTTGACTTTACTCCGACGTCAGGCCTCCCGCCAGTGAGCACGCATCTATGGATAAACATTCACCAAAGCTCTCACGTGATACCTAAGTACAATCACGATGGTCTCTAATGAACATAGAAGAGTATGCTCACACAGCGGCTGTAGAGCTGTCAGACATACTACAACTCTTCATCATTACTTTCGCACGTAACAGCATCAGTGTGAGGTGGTTAAAGGTGAGAAAGTCTATATTCAATCTTCGTCTTCATCGTCAGATCTATTAGCGTCGAATCCAAGTAATTCGTCAATCTCTCCTCCCTCCTCTTCCCCTATGCGCTCGCTAAACCCGCGCATCTGTCATTCCCCCTTGTATCCATCCACAAGGACGACTGGACCCTTGTATTGCTTACGTCCTCTAACGAGATAATCGATCAAACTTACAAAGGCCACGCCAACAAACATGACGGAAGCCCAGTTGAAAAACTCCAGGGTTGTAGGTGTGGAATCAGGCCAGAAGCACCAGAAGAAAGCGTGTGTGGAGTACAGGACACCACCGATGTTGACGGGGACGCCCCACTTTCCAAGGGACCAGCGGCAGTTGGGAAGGAGTTCGGGGTGGCGGATACGTCGGTAGAGGACAGCGCCGATAGAGAACATGTAGGTTATCATAAGAGCAACGACATTAAGAGAGATAACTGAAGTGCGTTAGTTATCGTGGAATAATGCGTAGGATCATGGGAAAACATACTAGCGTTGAAAGCGGTATCCGAGCCGATGTTAATGAGCGAAAGCAAAACCGTGATGGCACAGGTAACGGTCACAGCGTTGGCGGGAACCTCCAACTTGGGGTTTACCTTGCTGATCCAGTCGCTGAATGGCAGTCCCCTATCTCTGGCAAATGCCCAGGTCTGACGCGATGTCGACAAGTTGAAGGTCACAGTACCGGCGAAGATGAGGACCGTGGGAATAGCGTTGAGGGCTACCACACCGCCAGAGGATACGGCTTGGGCAAAGACCCACATATGGGGATAGTCGCCCTCAAGCGCAGCTTCGACGTCTGTAACCATGAACATGTAGCTGATGAGGAAGATTATGCCAAGAGAGCCATTCATGAGGTAAGCGCCGATCATTGCGCGCGGGACAGTCTTGCCAGCATCTTTGATCTCCTCGGCCATATGGGCTGCGGAGTCAGAGCCTGCGATCGCTCGTTAGTACAATCTCAGTGAGAGTTCTTGGCAGAGAGATATACTTACAGATACAAGCATAGATGGCAGACACTTGGCCTACCATGAGCGCCAAACCATTCGAGTTCCAGCCTCCTCCGTTGTAAAACTGGGTGAAGGTTGCTTCAGCAGTAGCCCGTGGCGACAAAACCCAGAAGACGATGATGATGGCCAGGAAACCAAATACGTGAACGATCAACATGATGTTCTGGAAGATAGGCATGCCCTTTGCGCCCCAGATATTAAGGACCCATACCAAGAAGGTTACGGCGATAACCATGAGTGTACCCTGCCACTTGGTAGCCACATACTCTGGGTACATTACGGTGGCAGAAGACTGGATCAAGGTGCCGACAAGGAAAGGTCCAGATGCAGTACCGGCCTGCCATGATAATGTTGACATCCAGCCGATGAAGTAGCTGAATGGCTTCTGGACACTGGGAGGTGAGAATTCGGAAACCCAGTGGTATTGTCCACCGGCGGTCGGCGCCATCGACGCCATCTCTGCGAGTGACAGCATGACGGTGCTGAAACCGAACCAGGTCCAGACGAAACTCCAGATAAGACCTGCTGGACCTCCATCTTGGAGACCTTGGTAGGTTGCACTATGGCGTTGTCAGTTCTCGTTACCTGTGAGTCTCATTAAGGTTGCTTACGTCAAAAGAACTTCCCATGTTCCTTGTAGAATAACGGTGAAGGCCAATGCTGACAACGGTCGATAATTTCTTTTCAGCTCTTGCACCTTGCCCATACGCTCCATGTCAGCGTGATCGGCTCTGGTGTAACCCCTGAGAGAATCATGGTACTCTTCGCTCTCGTCTCCGTCGATAGATCTCGTCGCACGCGCTCGCGACTCCAAAGTAGCCTGCTTGTCCATACTCCCAAGCGGTTGGCTCTCGTAAGCGGCCATACCCAAAGCACAACAAAAAGGAAGCGAATATGCAGGAACGCAGCGCCACGGATAAACTTAAAAAGGACCCAAGAAACAGGTAAAGATGGAACAAGCGAAACGCTGCGGTAGAAGTAAAGAAAGGGATTTCCCACGCGGACACGAATGCATGCACATGCTGGGAGATGGACTGGCCCAGCTGGTGCCAAATGCCTTGTCTGCCGCTTCCACGGGTGGGACCACTAATCCCAGACTCCATCGTACTCCCGGCATATTCTTCTCAAGCGGAATCAGGGTTCAATGGGCGCAGGTGTGCTCGGATGCACATGTCAGCCAACGAGATCGTCGCGGTGCTGATGGCGTCCACTCCGGCTGCGTCGTATGGTTGGCGTGGAGTCTGCCCAGGCTCCACTACCCTGCCGCTAGCGCGACACTATGCGGCCCGCTTCCTCTTATGGGGGTTTGGTGCGGCTGGACCCTAGTCTAGAGAGGCAGGAGTCGTGGATTGATTGCATGCAGCCACATCTGCCGCGGCTCATGTAAAAAGCAAAAGGCGCCGAGATGACAAGCCGTAAGAGGCGGAAGTCACGTAAGAGCTTCGGAAGAATTCGTTCTGGACCTTCTGCCGCCTCGCGTGGTGATGAAACAGGATCGACTCCAGATTGGCGAGTTGCCGATCATCGAATGATTTGTTGCTTCTGTAACCGTTTTCATGCTAAGACGGACATTAATATCAAATCCGTCTGTGGCAGCCGAGCGGAAAACCCGTGGGAGCGGTAAAGTTTGAGAATTTTTACTTGTTCAACCGTTCAGTAAACCGTGAACGCAAAGCTAGGTATCCGCAAGCTATCCGCAAGCTATTCCACCTCTTATCAGCGTATTGTAGGTTGCGGCTGACATTCCGCAAAACGCCGCGCCTTCGTATGCGACACGGTGGCGCTGACGCCAGCAAAGGCCAATCGACTATTATGCGTTAGAGGTCTTGGTTATGCCTCGCTTAGGATCATGAGCCTTCTTCAACAGATCCGTCCCGAGGTCGTGAACCGTGTACATGGGTTACAATCGGTCCTCCTATTAGCGATGAGAATGAGGAAGCACGCAAGGAGGGTAATGGGCAGGAAGATCCGCGCCCGCTCTTATTGGTGTTAGGCATTCAACCACAGGAGAAATAGGTCATGTCAGACGCGGCTTCAGCTGTATAGAGCCCGAAGTGTCCTCCGACTGTGCGTCAGACATTGCTCACATCTTATGGCCTCCTTTCTGTTGTACTTTTGCCCATTGTTCTTCTCCCTGATACTCCATGGCAGGAGAGGTGATCCCTCCGCCGTACGTTATAACAGCGGATGACAAGCGCGGCCTGATCGTTGTGACCGGTGCAGCTGTCTTAGCCTTTGTCTGGTCTTGTTTTCTGATCCGAGTATGGTTGCGCTGGCAATCAAGAGAGTGGCGATCCGATGGTAAGTCTTCCTTACATTGCACTGCCTGCACAAGTCGTGACGATATGCTTATCTTGTGTGCGCAGACTGGTGGCTCACAGCGGCAACCCTGCTGGACACCGTTCAATCAGGCATCATCTTCCACCTGGTAGAGCTTGGATTAGGTGCCTCACAGGCTGGTGTACCAATATCGCAACTCCAGCAGCTTGGGAATGTAAGTGACGTTTAGTTTAAGTGATTCAGTGATCTCCCTAGATCCGCGCCTAGGTGTCGGCTCCTTGCATCCTTCTGGCGTTTACGCAGGGCAGCCGCCCGAGCACAAGGCCGAACAGCTAGGAACACCACGGCTGACACTCGCAACAGGAAGGTTTCGCGTCGCAAATCATTTATATCTTTGTGATACTCGCCTCGAAGCTATCGGTGCTGTTCCTGTACCTACGACTATCGCCTGGTGGAGCGCATCGCATCGCATCATGGTCACTCGTAGCCTTGTCCTGTGTATGGGCACTGGTGTCGGTCATATTGGTTGCCATACCATGTAACCCTGCGCAAACCTACACAGATGCTGACAACTGTACAAACAGGGTAAGCGATACAAAGTCCCGAGAACTATCATTCGTTTTTGCTGACGACCAAACAGTGGCCAAAATGGCTGAGTATAGGCACCTTCGACATCATAACCGAACTCTTCATCTTCCTCGCAGCAGTCCACTTAATCTACTCGCTCCAAATGCGTCTTCGCACCAAGCTGCTTGTAATATTGGCCTTCGGCGCACGCCTACCTGTCATCGCAATTGCAGGAGTACGCCTATATTACCTCGACCAACGCCTGCGCGGGGTCACTTTCACCTTTGACTACGTCGTAGCCACGCAATGGCAAATGGGGTACGCAATCATGTCATCCACAATTACAGGCATGGGCCCCTTTCTCAAGCCTTTCGATAAGGAGTATGTGTCTAGTACGTATAAGCACTATGGACCAGGACATAGCTCGAGTGGTGGGACGTCAGGGATGAGAATGGAAAGTGGACTTAGTACGACTGCGAGTACCGGTTTACCACCGAGGAGACAAGGACTTGGGCATCACCATCACAGGGGATCTACGGATAACATCTCTGAATCCTATTTGATGGACACGCTGCCCAGTCGGCGGACGAGTAAACAGTCCATGGGAAACGAAGATCGCGCCAACTCTCTCGAACCGATGCAGTCGGGTAGTCCGTCGTCTCGAGCATCTCCATCTGCGCCAAATGACATCTTGATGACGGCAGATGAACACTTTCGTCCCGCGCACATGTATCGTGGACATGAAGCAGAAGTCTGGGTCGGAGATAGAAGCCTGAGCATTACGAGGGAGGAGATGGAAAGAGCTGCCGCTTCCGGGAGAAGTGCACCCAAGTCTGGAACCAAGCTGGTGATTGGGGAAAAGAAGGAGTTTAAGATCGAGGTTGATCGTGTTAGTCGTCTTATCTGAGTCTCGCTATCTTATGGGCGGACTTTTGTTGCGTTAAACTGAGTTAGAATACCCCTCTGTACTTTGCGTTATTTTAGTCGAGATCCAGCAACAAACGGAGGATACTTTATATAGACGAACTCATGACGATAGATATCTACAAATCAAGAGCCTGTCAACAAGGCACTTGTGGTCAGCGAGAAGAGTCATGTTCCTGGAATCTGCTTCTGCTGTGACAAAGGAAGGGGTAAAGACAGGGATATCATATCTGTTTGTTGTCCTGCTGTTATGTGCTAGAGCCTCAGTCATTTTCGGGTTCCATCATTGCACGGTAGTACGGCAAAGGTTGTTACAAACACGGGTTGTCAAAACTCCTCATTCCGATGCGAACCTATAATACAGCAAGCAAAACTAGCAGTCCCTGACCATACGAGCTTCCCATTGTCCCGCCCGGGTCAACAGTCAAGGTGAATATCCTGGTAAATAGCTTTTCCGGTTCGTTCCATGCTCTCTATACTTGTGCCCATGGCCGGGAACAGTTGCTAAGGAAAAGAACACGGGTAATCGCAAATCGAGGTGTAGAGAAATGTTGTGGTCGCCGCAACAGAGGGCCAACCTCAACGTGGGGGAATCGGTCAAATATTGTGAAAAGGTTCATCTAGCGATGCGTCTATGCGGAGAATCGGCGCATGACCTTGGCGATGACTAGTGAGAGTTAGTATGATACTGGTCAGCGAGGATTGGATGTACATACCGTGCAGAGCGACGACACTGAAGATGAAGACAACGGACAGGGTCATGACCACAACAGGGTCGACCTTCAGACCGGGAGACTCATCAGTGTATAGCCCTATAAGCAAACGTTAGCCAAAGTCCTCCAATGTCATCTCTGCTAATCGTATTGTGTCATATCCTCTACTGTCATCCTCAAAACAGCTCGCTCTTTGTAGCTTCCATCTCTTCTCGTGATCTGTCCACCTCAGGGCACACTTACTCAGCATAGTGCTTGAGCTACCACCGGCACCGGCCGCCCTTGTGCTGCTTGGACGCAGGTTTGCGGTCTTCTCGGCGCGGTCAGCGGCAGCCTTCCTTCGCATAACAGTCGCAGGGCCACCCGGGGGCTTTGGCGACGCAGGACGCGCGGTTGTCGAGCCTGAAGAGGCCGTGTTGGAGGGAGAGGTAGCGCGTGGGGCAGACTGTTGGCCATGTTAGCGATGATGTTCGGTGTTCATGTTCAGCCAGCCTATGCAGCCTATGGCACGGAACTTGTTGGACGCATCGACGAAACCCTGCGGGGCGAGGGAAAGATACACAACTCGAGGAGTAGCAGGGCGTCAAGTTATGTCAACAATTATGCCGGCAAGTGCCCGTACTGCTGCTCTCCTGTCGCATGCTTCGTGTCGCGAGCCAGGTGTCCTCATGTGTCCAATGGCTTCCTCCGTTATCGAAAAGGGCGGTACTAACCATGGTGAGAGTTGTTGACGGTGACCGGTGGAGAATAGACGGAGTGGGTTGTGATGGGAGATGTCGTGGAAGCAGCTGGTGATAGTCGCTCGGCGAACCTCAAAGGCCACGATTCTGGAGCTGGGGTTGCCGCGCCGCGCTAACCCTGACCCTCGACAACTTCGCTTACAAGGCCGCTAGCAAGGGTCACGTGTTAGTTCACTCACCACGGTTGCAATTTCCCCGAATAGGCAGGAAGATAATCACTATGCCAAATGGTGAAAGTCCACTTGAGAGTGTTGCGTGCGCATATTCACTACAAGGCGTTCTGATCCCAAACCACTTTTCCCATTAGACCGTTAGATGTACCAGGCCAAATAGCGTCCCAGAATCATCCGTGTAGGACCAAGCCTATCCTCTGATGATGCAGATGCCCTCAGCCGGACCCGAAAAGCTAGCAACCGGTAATAGCAAGTCATCCCTAAGCAAACTCCCGCAAGCCCCGTAAACCCATGTTGACCCTAAACCTGCCTAGCAAAACCCCGTGTAACCGCCCGTGAAAAGGTATATTATCTTCAGCAGACCCAGAGATGTGGAATGTAGACGGGTATGCCCAACAGCACCGCCAAACCCACAGAAAATATTCGCCAACCACCAATTGACCGGGTCCACCCATGGTTGTGTGTGTGAAAGACCGACACAGAATGCCCGAGACACCTGAAATGCAGTAACTCCGGATGTGCATCATATCTCCCAAATCAAAACTCCGTTTTCTAACCCCAAACAGACGCCTGCACTCCCTGTGTGGGCGTGTTGCTCCAGGGTCCGTTGTTCCAAATACCAACGCCCTTGTCAGTGACAGTAGACGAAGGGTTCATAGACGCAGATGTCGTAGACATGTTGTTCTGCTCGCTCGCGTTGTACGAGTTGTAGCCGAGAGGCGACGGCAGAGGTGAGTTCGCGCGCTTGCCCATAGCGCCACCTGGTTGCTGCAGGTTCTGGTTCTGAGGACGAGTGCCAATGGGGGCAACGCCAGAGCCGTTGGACTTCTGACCAGGCACAGGAGGAGAGCCTCCGGGCGACGAGTTGGAGGTACGGTTCGCCTGCTGAGCATCGAAGAGGTTGAATGCTGGGTTCTGGCTACCAGAAGGTGACGAGGTGCTGTTGGCACGCGCATCTTGAGCATTACCAGCAACGTCCTTGTCGCGGGGAGGCATCTGGACGGAACCCTCACCGGAAACGTTCTGGGCCTGCATGCCGAAGGGATCAAAGGCGAGGGGAGACGGACCCCGACCAGCTTGCGAGGTCTGAACACGAACATCCTGGCTCGAGGTCGGGTTGCTGTTGTACAGGGTGGAGGTCTCGCCATACAAAGCACGGTGCTGGCGGGCGATGAGTTCGCGGCGCTCCTCTTCATTCATGGCATTGGGGCTCATGGAGCGGTCGGACTTGGAGGCTGAGCCTGAAACTTCTGTATTACCCTAGTCAACCAACTGTCCTGCTTCTATTGTTGCCCAGATTCCGAGTCCTTACTTCTGTGGTATTGCTGCTCCTGGTGATAGTTGCGCAGCTCACGCTCACGCTGAGCCGCCATCCGTCGCTTCGCCTGTGCCATCTGGTCTGCGTCGTTGGGTCGCGGCGCATAGCGCTGGTTCTGGTAGAAGCCCTGGACGTTGGACGCCGAGTGGGAGCGGGAGCCGTCGTACTCGCTGACCGAGTGGTGGCGCTGGGCGCCGCTCATGCGCTGTTGCTCTGTATCACATGTCAGTCATGCGGGGACGATTATGAGCAAGACTGCATACCGAAGTCGGGGTATGGGCGGGGGCCACCTCCCATCATGGGCATGGACTCGCGGCGGTTGGCACCCATGGGCGTAGGAGGGAAGCCGGGACCGAAGGGCTTGCCGCTCTTGGCAAGGTTCTCGATGGCGCGGTCGACCTCTGTGGTGTTGTTGTTAGCACTCGGCTACGGGGCTCGTCTATGGTTACCATGGGGCCTGTCACTGCCACGTATCGTCGCATTGGCACTGGCAGCCCCCACTATAAGAAGCAACGTACCCTCAAACTGCGAGGCAAAGGCATTGGCGACCTCGCTGTTGACCGTGGAGCTTGTGCCTATATCCATGTGAATCGCTGCACCTGCACCGTTGAATCCCATTTGGCCGGTACCTGATCGCGAGGGTGGTTGGGGTTGCTCCCACGATGACTGCCGGCCGGGAGCAGGCGTGTTCCACGACGCGTCGTTGTAGTAGGACATGTTGGGTAGGAAGAAGTCGGGTGGGTTATTCGGAGTCGGGGTAGTCGCGCAACGCCAAAGGGTTGGTGGGTGGGTGATACTAGAAACTGAATCTGGGAGCAATTGATTAGTACGGCTACTCCTTGTCAACAAGTGCAAGCATCAATCGGCACAAGAGGTTCGAGCGATTGTCGGCGGTCGGACGCAGGCAAGTGTTGGCGATATGGGGGCGGGAAATGAGGTCGAGGCGGGCAGCGGAAAATTTTGGTGGAGAGCGGAGATGTTTTGGAGAACAGGGTCGTGCCGCGTACCGAGAAAAGCGAACCGTGTACTCACCTTTCACCGCGAAAAAGGAGCGACAGCTGTTCACTTAGCAGGCAGCAAGTGAAGTCACCGAGAAAAGCACACAACTGAGCGGGTAGGGGTCAGGGAGGCACTTCGGGAGATATCGCGGGACTGCTGAGGATTATGTCGAAAGGGGATGCTGGATTCGTTGCGCTAAGCAGGCCGAGCAACGACCTATCCACTTAATTCATCTCCGCTTCTCAGACACGGGCCTCACCAGCTGCATGCAATTAGTCTGATATCCCATTCGATCCCGTCCGCAACCAACCGCTTACTCTTCGTATCGCGACAGACGCGCCGCAGCCTTGCCTTGGGGGATCTCTTACTGTCTCTCGAGGCCTGGCTCTGCGACTCTACCAGCAGTCGGCCAAGTGGAAGAGCATGCGGATGACGTCCGAGAGGGGCAGCTGCATATCCAAGTCGAGTACTGCGGGATATGCAGTGGGAGAGCAGTGGGCGCGTTTAGCGAACAACGGTTCGGGCTCTCACCACCATGGTCTGTCGTCGGCTATTCATGAGAAAGCCCCGCGCGCCTCCTTTACACGTGGTTTTCCCAGACCCTCCCTGTTTGACTCTGTTTTGACCCTGACATTCTCCCGACTCAGGGTCTGCATCATGTCTGTCATGCTGTTAGACACTGCGTCGTCGCCATCACCTGCGAACTCAACGTTCGCAGTGCCCCGCCAACGCGCCCGGGACGGTAGCGATGCCAAACCGACGCATGCCACACCGCATTGCCAGCATGATCACTTACACTACACCATGACAAGATATGTGGGAGCGCTTGGGCTCTAATGCGGGGCATCCAACGACCATTGCGGCCTGGCTTCCAATAAGCTCCCACCAAAGCCAGGCATTTGTGAAAATATTGACATGTGGCTTGCTTCTCCGTCGTAGCACATGCACATGGACCGAGAGAGATAATACCATCGGTGTGGTTGTCGCCTGCGTCTACTGTGTATCTTGCGCAGAGGGTACCGACATGGCCAGCTTCGGTGCCGGCTTTGTTTCCAGATGAGGTTTAACGATATTGAGATAGTAACGCCCTGCACGCCGAGCTTCGCATGCTGATACGCGACGTCAGTCTTGCAAGATGTGGGGGTTCGGAGTGCGTTGCCGGTCGCTAGACAAGACAGTCATTATACAACGACGGCATCATCTTTTTTAGAGACACCTCACGGCGTAAGCAATATCACCATGGCTCGTGCGGAGAGCAAACGAACCCAGACAGGGGCACGACCCATTCGGCTAAACATGCGCTCCCGCCTCTACCCCAGCTTTTTGTAGTTCGCCAACTTGGCCTACGTCCCGCCGTTGCGCCATCGCCTTCAAAAGTAAGCCTGGCATATGTCATCCGTGCTGAGGTCAGGGTGTTCTCACTTCTCCGTCTGCCCAGTCGTTCCTTTGCTTTCCATTTCCGTCTCCATGACATTGTCATCACACCGTTCGCGTCGAACGCTCTTTCCTCTTTTGCTTCCATAGCATCACGCGCCACAAACCACGGGTGTTGGTATCACTTACGACATCAGCCACACTGTCGACATGACCACCTATTCTACATTCCAACAAATACGCCCGACAAGCCCATCACGCATGACGGGGCGCAAGGAGCCTCTCACGCATAGAGTATGAGACACGCTCCTTCGAAAGGAGGCGGGATTATGGATGCCTATTAGCACCGATTCCGCAGGCCTGATGGACGAACACTGTTTTCTTTCACGGCAGGACGTGAATTCCCACAACGCTGACAAGACCGAGTGAATGTCATCAATATGGCTACGCAAATGGATCTCGCCATGTGCGCGAGTGTATTACATCAACCTCTTCTTACGCTTCTTTTCTACCAGCAGAATGCAGATGCGAAAACCTGTAGTGTATCAACAGACACCTTTGACTAAATCTCAAGCTGCCCTGGCTCCAAATACCGCATGTCTTGCGAGCCTGCCGACGGAACTTATCCTCGAGATCACCGACCGCCTTGCGCTCGACGCCATACTGGCCCTCAAATTGACTCAACGACGATTCAACGATATCCTGCCTCTCGATCAGAGACGTTGGCAGGCTCCTCGGTCAAGGTGTGCCCAGCGCGCTATCCAGGTTTATTTGACCCCATCGTCATCTAAACCCAGTCATCGACATTGCATCGTGTGTAACGCTGAGTATCCCATCAGCCAGTTCAAGTCATCGAACAGTCCGGCTTGCGCGCCTATGGAGCATACCAACGTCCCCCACGACATCATCAAATTACCACCACGAGTCTGCTTCTGGCATGTTGGAAGGTTTATGAGAATTATCAGTCATGAGGCCGGGAACAAAAATGGATGGGTTAGCCACTCAGACAAAATGTGCATGCACTGTGGAGATATCCAGGGGTGGGACAAGTGCGAATGCAAGTGTGACAGCTGTTCTTTCTGGGAAGTAACAGTCTACAATCGACATATCAACGATGGTCAAAAATGTCGAAACCCGGTCTTCTGGAGAGACGCTCCCAGCTCACGCGTTAGAGGGGAGAATCAACTTTGGGTTCGGGAAGAATTTTGGGACGCGAACGGGAAACAATTTGTTGACTTGCCTGTTCGATTTGAGTCAGCCTAACCGATGGATGGGTGCGTTTGGCATCGACCTCCAGTCAGTTTTTCTTCGTTCTTGTATGCTTCACTTCTAACAAGAGCTGGTCTCCCTGGTTTTGTTTGTAATCTTTAATTCGTTATATCATTTAGAATCCAGTCTTTTCGTCATAGATCATGTCATCCTCCTCTTGTACAAGGCTAGCTTTCTCCACATCCATCTCTTTAGTCTCCCATTGGCATCCCAACTCTTGTCCCCATCTCCGCACGCTGAACAAAGCCCACCATTGGGCGATCATCAAAACCAACCCCACACAGGCGCCCCCAAACTTGACAACAGCAAACGTTGTCGAGCACTTTTCCAACCACTCATCGTCCCATCCAAAACCGGCATCAATGTCGCGGCATATCGACGATCCGTCGACGGCGTAGCTCGGAATTACCGGATTTAGCAACCGGAAGTCGAAGGGAAGAACCAGGTTTACGAGAGCGATGGTTACAAAGGACAACGTGGTCGCGTGGATGATTGTGTAAGCTGACACGAGGCTTGGTAATAACTGCAGCATCGGGTGTTAGCGGATTCATGTGACGAATGGACATGAGACTGCGACTCCGAGCGAAGCCGGCTGGACACAACCAAGTATACAGCTAGTGGACAGTCGCACAAGTCGCGGGGAAGAGCTTGGCTTACCCTTACGGCGCCTAGGAGGCCCAATATGCTTGCGCTGCCGGCAAGTACATTGTATGAGATGGAGAAAGATGCGCGGTCGAGGTCGGAGCCGGGTAGTAAGAAGGACAGCGCGAGTAATGTATGCGTGCAGAGAGTGAGGGAAGGGAGCACGATGGCTAAGAATCTGGAGACCATGTCAGTACCCGTCGCGTGTCGCGAACCTTGGGCAAGCGCGACATACCTCATCTGGTTCTGCTCTGTCGACAACGCCATGTCTTCCCACCGGATTCAGTAATCAAGATTCAAGGTAAATGTAAATGCGCTTGCTGGAGACTCAAAGTAACAATGCGAAGCGATGCGGTACAGTGCGAAGCGGAAACGGCCGTGTAAAAAGCAGATCAGATCAAGTACGTCAGGTTAGGTTCCGGGGGTATCAATATGCAGTCGGGACCAAGACAGCGGGTAGGAGACAGAGAGGAGAAGCAGCAGGCCGGCACGCTTATTCTTGTATGTATAGAGCCGTAGCAGCTAGCTAGCAGAGTAAAGAGGAAGGTTTTGTGAGCAAGAAGCTGCGACGCGTGAGTAGTAAGGTGATGAGTGAGGTCAGTTGCCTGGATTCGCCGAAGACGGATTGTTAATCGCGTTGGTTGTTCAGAGTTTAGCAGTGTTTTTAGTACTAGCTCCGGGATCCGCGGATGCACCAAGAGATCGTGTTGTGATGTCACGTCTGTGATCGATTTGATCATCGGAAGACACAGACCACGCAGTGCACACTGTTTTTACTTGAAACGGAGGGTCGGGCTTCGGGCCTCGACGTGACTTTGATGCGGTTTCCTCAAGTCATCCTGAAGACGCGTTGCAATTATTCGTGTGCGTGTGTGTGTGCCTGTTATCATCGGGATCTAGCACTAATTGTACATGCAGCACACAAGCAGTCTAGCCCTTGCCATGCCAATGCGGATCATGCGGCATGCGGCTGTTCCAGTGGAGCATCTTCCGGAGCTTAGCGGAAACAAGAGAGAAGCAGAAACGGCAAGACCTAGATCACAAGCGCGTCATTCCATGGCCTTTGTACAAACGTTATCTCGGTCTCTTGGACATGTCAAGCCGCACTTGTACGGCTGTCGGCAGTGCAGTCGTAGTGCATTTGATGGGCTTTTGCCCATGGCATTGTTGAAATGTGCATCTGCAGCTGACGGTAGATAGCCGGATGTGCGCACTTCCTTATTCCGTGGCGAATCACGTCGCGCTGCGAACGAGCACCCTGGTCGTCGATACAGAAGATTCCAGCTTGCGGACCATGGGCTGTTTCACGCATATGAACTGTACAAGAGATCAGGATAAATGCACAAAGCGGGTAGAGCATCTGGACTTTCCCCGTCACCGTCGAGTGGATGCGTTAGTCGCATATGCCCTAAGCTTAGTTGACAGCTATGACAATAATTTGACGTGCTAAATGCGAATGTCACTGCCCGCCCACGAGTAAGAGTTCCTTGAATCGACGCAGACGAAAGCATGTAATGGCGCGCTTACGTGATGCGCGAAAGACAACTGTGAGGGCAGCTGGCTCATCGCACCGACATCGTTGGCTAAAGGCCCGACATGGTGTTCAACAACCGCCAAAACGAATACATACACCACGCAATGGCAAGCGATAAGAGCTGAACTTTTTTGTTTTTTTTTATTATTTAGCTATCAGCGCAAGACGCCGTGCCTTTATCTATTCATGTCGTCGTTTTCAATCGTTCCTCGTCTCTCACAGACACCGTCTATGCGAAGACGTAGCAAGGAATACCGTACTGCACGTCGACATTAGCGCTCATCCTTCTCCACACGGACACAGGTTTTTACTTACGTTGGTAGGAGCGTTGAACTTCAAGTTCTTGTCCAAGCCCGAAATCTCCTCAATCTCGCTGTCCTTGAGATCGAAGCTCGTCACATCCAAGTTCTGCTGCAGACGGTTCGCCGAGTTGGACTTGGGGATAACGCTAAGACCACGCTGTGTCGACCAGCGGAGCAGGACCTGTGCGGGGGTCTTGCCGTGTGCCTCGGAGATCTTCTTGATGACCGGGTGGTCGAACAGGAGGGGTGTGTCGGCCGCAATCTTCATGTCGCACTCGATGAAGCTCTGAGGCCCGAAAGATGAGTATGCGGTGACCTTGATGTCGTGCTGCTTAGCCAGCTCAATCAGGTAGGGCTGAACATAGTAGGGGTGGTGTTCGATCTGGAGAGTGGCGGGCTTGGTCTTTGCGTAGGTGAACATGTCCAAAAGCAGCGCTCCTGAGTAGTTGCTCACACCGATGCTCTTGGCCAGGCCCTTATTCTTGAGCTCCTCAAATGCTTCCCATGTGCTTTGTAGGCTGGCATTGCTGTGCTCGATCTTGCTCTTGCCGTCGACGAACCAGCCAGGTGGGTAGCGCTCCTTGGGGTCGACATACTTGAGGGCGACGGGGAAGTGGATAACGTAAAGGTCGAAGTAGTCAATACCCCAGTCGGCCAATTGCTTGCGGCAGATGGGCTCGACTTGCTCACGCTCGTGGAAAGTTTGCCAGAGCTTGCTGACGATGAAGAGATCTTCGCGCTTTACGAGGCCTTCCTTGATAGCGCGAGCTACACCTTGACCGCACTCAACTTCGTTGCCGTAGTCTGTGGAATTTGGTGTCAGCCATGATCACGCGCGCTTTCGTTCCGAAGAAGGACGCTAGCATTCCGAGGCAAGGCAAGGAGGCAGAAACCACGGGTAAATCGGGGTCATGAGCCCGTCAAAGATTGCCGGTAGATCTTTGTACTACACGGTTTACGGGCCGATGGAGCGTCTCGTAGTAACAGAGACCGATCTCCCCACATCCGCTAATGGTGGGTTCGGGGATGGAGACTCGAGATTTACTTACCGCAAGCACCGTCGAACAATCTGTATCCAGCCTTGATGGCATTGTAGACAGTGTCCGCACATGTAGCATTGTCGACCTTCCACAGTCCAAAGCCAACCTGAGGCATCTTGTTGCCATCGTTTAGCGTAACGTAGGGAGTGTTGATAGCCATGGTAGCGAAGAAGTTGCGATTGGCAAAACTATTCCGTTGTAATAATGTTGGCGTTCGTCGTTCAATGCAAGGTCTTGAAGAATGTAGAAAAGATGATGCAAGAGGTCTGGAAGTCGGAACAGCAGAAGAACAGGCGGCACGCAGGGTATTAATACTGCTAGCACGGCAATGGAAGCGCCCAGTAATCATGTCCCCAGAATATATACGTGTATTTTGCAGACGGAATAAGAGAATTTGGCGCCAGGTACAACAGCCTACCGTCTATATACGCCGTGTTAGAGGCTAACATGAACATATGACCCTGCGTCTTCAACCGGACGACTGGGTTAGTATGATCAGTTTGCCTCTTTACCCTGATAGGCGATGGTTCCGCCTGGCTTTTATCCTTGTTACGCCGCATGCTTGTGGCGGATGCTGACCATATTGGTCGGCCTTGGTGTTTGATGTCGATTGGAAGCTGGAATTGCACCGCCACTTCCTCTTCCTCTTGCCCGGCGACTGTCGATAAATGGATAAATAGCGGTTGGTCTCAACAGTATCAACAAGAAACTTCTGCGTGGTGAAACCGCATGTCTGTGCTGTGTTGCTGGCAAAAGAGCGCTCACAACCGCAGTAGTGACGATAGTGGGGTAACAGGTGCCCCTCCGTACCCACATTTTGGCTCTGCCACCACGCGGTGGACGGGTAAAGAGCTATTAGTCTCAAGGCACCGGATAATTAGTACGCGCCATAGTCGTGATTTACCGTTCGTCCATTACATTGGATAAGCGATGAGCCGGCGTGGGGTTTCTGACGTTGCATGAAAATGTTAGAGGCACGTGAAGCTGCTCTTTACGTTTGCGACAGGAAGCTCCGATCAGTGCGAAAGACATTTGGGGTGGAGATAGCTCCGCACTGGAGACACAACACAATGTTGAACGCAATTTGTAAGCGCAGGGGAAGTAATGAACACAGAAGGGGCCTTTAGAAATGTACAACTAGAAGTCCTCGTTGATTGACGCTAATATCAATAACACCTGCACTATTCACATCACAGACATCATACCTACTGGGAGCGCAGTCGTACAAGAACATCATACCGCCTACTTTCCATACGCCGAACAAACTCCGATGAGTAAAATGCGTTCCCCTTATCAGGTCCAAATGCCTAGGGTTATTTCCGCGAACTCGCCATCTCTCCGAACCGCCCTCTTTGCTGTGTGGTATCATAGGCTTGTAGCACCCGAGCTTGTGATTCGTCTGTTTGTGAAAACGCATACCCACGCTGTTTGCGCATACGCTGCACTTGTCGGACTTTTCGGATGGCTTTTTGGAATTGCTCCATACTGTTGCAAAGTCAGTGAATCGTGACGAGCAAATATAAAAATTGGGGAAAACATACCGTGGCCTGTAATCTTGTATGTTATACTTCTGAATCTCTTGAACGTGATGGTAGCTCTGCGGAAAGTACATTCTCTTCGCGTACTTCCACGCAAAGTCTCTGATGAGACAGAGTGGTGGCAGTACCAATACCATTGCCCAGAAGCGTGGGTCAGGAAAGAGGCGCTCGATTACACCAACATATTCGTTGGATATGTTGATCTTGGGGGCTACGACAGCGTAGATGGGCATCAAGATGAACCAAAGCAGCATGGAGCCCGGAATAGCTAGCACGGTATACTTTGTCCAGATGTTGGTGATGAGGGAGGCTTTGAGAAGGACGGTCGCCAGATTAGCAGTGTAAGCGGCGGTTCCCCAAACCCAATGGCCTGCATTTCGGCCATCCCATTGTGGCCAGTCCCAGAGAATAAATGCTTGGGCACCGAAATACAAAATCAGCGAGTGGTAGAAGCCATTTCCAACCCAAGACCAGAAAGAGTGCATACGGAAGAAGACACCAGACTGACTGAGGCGGTAGAGCTGCGGATACCTGTCCAAAAGCCTCGCGCTTACGAACTGATCGAAAATACCCAGGACGAAAGGCGGCGCCGCTGTGAAGAACACGTTGTAGAAGGTCAGCGTCCACGACTCATAGATAATCTGACCCGAGAACCCATTCTGGAAAGAGTACCAGAACTGTGTCATGAACATGGCAATGTTCTTGTAGAAAGAGTACAAGATAACCTTGCTGACACGCTGATAACTCCAGGCGCCGTGGACAAGGAGAAGTTTGCGCAAGTAGCGGAATTGGCCAATCGCGATATCTGCGCTACGTGCTGCCTGCAACCCCTCAACACCACTGATACCAACACCAACGTGAGCGGCCTGAATCATGGAAACATCGTTTGCGCCGTCACCGATAGCCAAAAGGATAGCCTTGAGGTGGCGTTTGACAAGCTTGACGACAAGGGCTTTCTGTAGAGGGGAGACACGGCAACAGATGACAGCCTTGCACCTGACAGCCAGGTCCAAGAACTCCTTCTCAAGGTCACGCTCAAGGGCATAGGTAAGCGACTTGCCGTCGATAACTAGAGCGAGAACATCCATCTCAGCTCCACCTTGGCTCTGACTAGTAACTGCTTGGTACTTTTTGCGAATGTTGTCTCGCGTATCTTCCTTATTTTCTTCGTTAACAATGAGTAGACTCATGTCCTCGCTGATCAACTTGCAACTCATGCCAATGTTGATGGCAGTTTCTTGGCGATCTCCAGTGAGGACCCAGACCTTGATGCCAGCGGATTGCAGGGTAGCGATAGTGTCTGGTACACCCTCTTGCAGTTTGTCTTCGATAGCAGTCGCTCCAAGCAGAGTCATGTCATGCTCAATGAGCTCAGCAGCCTTGTCTAACTCTTCGGCACGATTACCGCTAACAGTTGTTTGTGCAGTATTGAAGACCGACCACCATTGCTGGAACTCGCTCTCTGAGATCTCTCGCATCGCAAGACACAACGTGCGCAGTCCCTCGGAAGCGTACTCTTCAAGATGCGTCAACGTCGTTTCCACATGAGGGTTGTCTTTGCCAAGCCTCTCCAATATGACGGTGTCGGCTCCCTTGGTGTAACAGACAATCTTGCCCTCAGGAGTACGGAAAATCGTAGACATCCTTTTCCTGGTGGAATTGAATTCGCAAACGGCTAGGAGTTCATATTCAAGCTCGCGACCATCGACTTCGATAATCACCGCGCGCGGCTTCCTCGCAACGAACTTGTAGCCAAGAGTCACTGCGCCTTCCACCAAGGCGCCCTCATCGGGCGATGCAGCTTGGTACTTGATGGCGGCCTTTTCGCCCTTTCTTTCGGGGATGACTGTATGGCAAGTTGCGAGTAGAGTAAGGAACTGGTCAATAATGTACTTGTTGTGGTGCGTTTTGCGATTGTGCTCAAGTTGCTTGAAGTCATGGATTCCGACCTCAACACCGTCTTCAAAGGTCGCACGTCTGTCCTCGGGGACCTCATCGGCATATTGAATGCCGGCAATCGTAGACTGCTTGAACTCCATCATGTTGCATGTCAGAGTACCTGTTTTGTCCGAGAAGATGTATTCAATCTGACCTAGTTCCTCGACCAAAGACGAAGTTCGGCATTTTGCCGGTGTATCTGTCGGTTCATAGTAAATATCGAGATCAGAGTCGATGAGACTACCAGTGTAGTATTTGACGATTTCAATCGTTACGAAAAGCGAGATGGGAACCAAGTTGGAGTATAGTACCCAATATGTTAGGAGGTCGCGGAAGAATTGTTTGGCGCCGTTGAAAGCATCAAGTCTGAGATACTCGAGGCTGTCTCTCTCCTTGGACTGTATAATCACATCGCCTATAGAGCTGATGATGCTTAGCGCTATGAGAATGACTACAAGCATGAGAATCTGCTTGTTGACCAGTCTCTCCACTGCAGTAGTCTTGATAGGCGTAGCCGTGGCATTTCTCATCAGCTTCGTTTCGTGTCCGGTAAATACCACGACACCGTGTATCCAAGGTGTGTTTCGCAGTGTCGCTCCACGCAACAGCAGCTGATCGGGTGCTAGTGGTAGTTCCCTTTCCCCACCACCAGCTGCCATGGTCAAAGTTGCTTCATAGGTGTATAGACTGCTGTTAGGCTGTTCTGACCGTATACGGCCTCCTAGTCGTGCCAGCTCAGCAGGACTGACAAAGTCAGCTGTCTCGGGTATCGCTTGCTTGATCTTCAGATTTGTCTCTCCGTCCAAGTTGGCCGTCTCAATGTAGCATAAACCCTCGGGCTCGGACGAAGCAAGCAGGACCAAATCGGTGGGGAAGGATTGTTCGGATTCAACGCGTACGATGTCGCCAACTGCCACATTAACCCATTTTGTATCTGCAAAGGTAGAGCCTTTGAGAACTTGGGCTTTTGAGTTGTTGAGGTCAGAGTCAGATTGTTTCCGCCGGTAGTCCTCAATGTACTCCTTGACGGCCGAGACCAGCAAGACTATACCAAGCGGTACAATGGTAGTGTATCGCGAGGTGGGGGAGATACCGGGGATCTGTTGTAGAATGGCCGTGAACAAGAAGAAGAGATTGGCGTATTTGGAGAACTGTTCGTAGAGGAACTTGGGAAGGAAGGTGGCGATGTTGTATTTCGAGGTTGAGATGTGGTTGTCGACGTATTTGTTGGCGGCATTCGCGGGCGGGTTGTTCAGGTGGATGATTCTTGGCCCCAACGTTGAGGGATCTGGCGCGCCCCTGCCGAAGCCAAACTTGAATGAACCCATGCCCTTTTTCGTTTTGGAGGACTGGCCATCGTCGCGTGCGCTTGCGGTCGTATTCGCGCTGGGCTGCCGTTGGTGTGCTGCGTTCTCGGTCAATGGCAGATCCATCTCGGAATACTCGTTGCCCTTCCCGAACATGTTCTTGACTTTTCCAGTCAGGCCACCTCCAAGACTCAGGATACTATTCCTGTTGTGCGCCTTTTTGGATGCCCCGCGCTGTATGCCTGGTGAAGGCTGGTCATACGCTCCTCCCGCAGCGTAGTAGCCCTGTGCTGAAGCATCGTCGTCTGCCGGTATGTCTGCATCCGAGTACCGCTGGTAGTTGTGCAGGTCCGAGGTTTGCGAGTAGGCTCTGCTGTTGTTTGCTCCTCCCAGATAGGGCGAGTCACCCGTGGGTGCGCCAGGCCCGCCCGGCAGGCCTGCCGTCGCCCTCCCACCCCCGACAAAGTCATCGTACGAAACCGAGGGCCGACCTTGCGGCGCTGCATCGGAGCTGTCTATGTCGTACCGGTGGAGGAGGTCATGGTCATTGGCGGGTGGCGGTGCACCCGAGTAATATGTGGGTTGATGGTCGTCGAAGTCGATCAGGTTCTCGCTATGAGACGGTCCACCGGGCGGCCTGCTGGCCATAGCGGCCGAATGTTGCGATGGGCGTCTTTCTCCGAAGAGGGCGGTTTGTCTACCACTTCATGTGATAGCTGCCGGTGTGTCGTCGTTTCTGCAATGTGTTGTCGCGTCGCGGACGGATACGGAGGTCTTGCGGAGCTTCGTCGTAAGCCACCCTGGTTATAGTAACGCAGCTTGGCGGGCGTCTCCGAGTTAGGTTTATACCGAATGCGCGCAATGTGTCGTGATCGCGTTTGTATCGTGAAGAAAGCGAAGGTCAACTTCCACCAGCGCCGGGAATGTTTGCGGATCCTGTTGCAAGGTTTCGCTGACTGCCGGTCGTCGAAAGATGTAGGCACGGACCAGAGTGCTGAGGCAGTGCCTACCACTACCCTGGGCCTTCTGCTGCAACCGCGCCCCTGGGGCCTCGTTATGTCGACGAATAAGATCGATTCACCTTGGCCGCACGTCTCAAATTGCACCAAGCTGACATTGACGCGCGATGCTGCAAACTACCCAACTTGCAGTGCCATTACGCGGCGCCACGCTGTGGGGAGAGATTTGGTGGAGACCCTGACGTTGCGCCAAGTCCGCACCCTGATACTAACCTTCGGGATGCTTTTGCTTCCGAGTAAACCCTTCTTGACAGGAACATGAATACAACCTCTTGTCTACCATTCGATAGCTAACATTGCTGCCGTTGCGTTGGAACCAAATGCCCATTGAATTTGGACAGAACACGCCAAGTACCAACACGGCTTGTGAGGCGGGCATACTACAATTTCCCTCAGCCCGGTTCGTGCTGCGGCGTCTTGCTTGACAGCATGGAAGAGAGATGACCCAATCAATACTATGCGATTGGATCGTGTATTTTGTATCATTTCGCAGAATGCTGTGTTATACGGCCTGCACAGTGGCTAGAGCATCGATATCGTTGCATCGTTTCAACATTCCTTCGCCCCTAACTTGTCGGCGATGGTGTCCAAAGAGATTACTTTGACTAGCTGCTCGCGTTGCGAGTTCTGAGGCTGTGGCCTCGTACCTAGGTAACGTCGCACTGAAGGCGGAGTCGTCACGCTTAAAATAGCACCACGTTTGCGCAGTTTAAGGATGATACGCATCGATCCAACGACCATGCATTTAGTTGATTATGCCGCTCTGATAGTGCTTTTGTTATATGTGGACTGGAAGATAGGTGAACGATCTTGATATACATCACTGTCGCAACACACCCTGATTGCAGCAAGTCTCTCATTCATACCACGACTATCTTGTGACCATGTGGCCGATATAGTGATGGCCAATAAACACGTATTGCGGTTGTGCTTTAGCGAGCATGCGGGTGATTTTTGGTGTTGCACTAATGAAATTTTCGACCGTCCCGCCGAATTCCCCCCCACCCAACCAACATTTATCCCGGCCATATGAGATTCACCCAGTTTCTTGCTCGATCTCTCTGCTACCCCAAAATACTTAAGGATATAATGTGAATTAATTTCCAGTCTTTCATCGAACAACAGCAATAGCCCGGCTAGCTCAATCGGTAGAGCGTGAGACTCTTAGTCTTTCACGGTCTAACAGACACGATTACTCAGTACATCTCAAGGTTGTGGGTTCGACCCCCACGTCGGGCTTGTACGTCTGTTCGTTTTTGCTGGATGGTTGTAGAGGTGTTGAGGGTGAAGGTCTTACGATACCTCTATAATCACCCCTTTTTTTGCTACCACAACCCACAAGGGTTCATCTTGCTGCTAAAACTGCGCAATCCTGGTTCTGGATGGAGCCTTCACTCTTTCTACCAGTCGTTTTATGAAATATCAGTTGCCTCGAGTTTTGCTTGACGCAGATAGCTAAATGGCGTTTCGCAGGCCAACGACCCCAGAAATGCGATCCTCCACAAGAAGAACAATGTTTCCAACTATCTACCTGATCTGATCTGACGTCCGTATGAGTCTTCACTGTTCTGATTTCGTTCACTGTCAATTGACAAGCGCATTTCACTAGCGATGTACTTGGAGAGCCTAGGCCTCGTGCACACTTTATTCAATCCCTTCAGCGCAATAGGTTACGGTCTTCTTTCCAAAAGTTTCTCCTCCTGAAATCAACAGCTTCTCCGGATACACTGTCATGTCGGCCTACAACACCATAACCCTCACTCCTTATGAGAAAGCCACATTCTACAGCGTGATTGAACACGACAAGCTCGCCCGACATTGCCCTTTCGATAACGGTCGGCATGCTCTCGAACTCGACTACGCTACCGCACCTGATCTAGGATCATTATCGAGACTGCCAGCTGAGTTGATGGAACAAGTTGTTCTGGAACTGGATCTCGCAAGTCTGTTGGTGTGGAGGAGGGTTAGCAAAAGGGGAATGGACTTCGTGGCTTGTCTGATCGAGTGGAAAAAGGTAATAAGCATTGCCAGAAGCGTCAGACTTTGTGCTGATATCGCGATTCTAGGTCACTCTCATAGCTCCGAATACCGTGAGAATGGCTGTTGGCCTCCATTCGCACTCTACATTCAGCCTCGCTGAACTTTATGATGCTCTTCACCAACGTACCTGCGGTATTTCAGACTGTTCCAACAGTGCAAAGTATATCAGCATGGGCACTCTAGTACGCATTTGCGAGACCTGTTTCTATCCAAGAGTTTGGCGGACTATTAAGTCATTCGCATTCAACTACTACTGTGCCCGGAAAGTGCGAACGAGCGAGCATACGGAAGAGAACGAGAAACCACCGGAGAAAGAAGTGACAGCATACAAGGTACGTATGGATGAACGCATCGGCTTCGTCGAAGTTGGTGTTTTGGAGAGGAGAGGTAGAGGCATTGAAGGAGTTCCGGGAAAGGGGATCAACGACGGAGATTTGGACAGACAGTGGGCTGGTGGCTCGGCTTGGGAGTGATACACGCAAACACTATACAAGGCAAGACTTAGCGTCAGCCTATAGGCATCAGATATCGTAACTTCCTCTTGAATATTTGGGAATGCAGAGAATTGGCTCTACTGTGTTGTCCTAAGTTTTGTAAAAGATGGTAATTTCAGCCATGATAATCAGTCGTGAATCAGATCGTGGTAGTAGACCTAAGGGATATTTGTTAGGGCTCCGGCTCGCCACCAGATACCTGCAAACTACATGTAATGCCTCATATGAGATGTATGTTTAGGTGGCATGACACATGCGGAGGCTAGTTATGCGATGAGCGACCGGAGAGTACGCACGAACGCGATGGTTTGGTGTACCTACTTGTGTGGGGCGGGGTCGCGGATCCTTTCAGGCTCGCAGTCCACCTCCCGTCCCCTCTTCCTTACACAAAGTCCTCTCTCGATATCACACCACCGGGTCCTTAATCACCCTGGCAGACATCCCGTATAGCGCATTGGTCATGTATGCCGTGTTTTTGATACTGGTGTTGGTGTGATGTGAGAAAGACCTTGTGACAGTTGTGTTCGTGTCACTCGGTCCATACCGCTGAACTAAGCTTGCGCTTGCTCATCCTTACCAACACACTTCCCAGACTGCATCCACGTATGAAACATGGTAAACGTTTGCTGATGATTGTGGCTAGCTCGGTAGGTTGCTGATGTCATGCTTGGGGCTTTAGGCAACATGTAGTAGGCATAATTAGAGGCGGAGCTTCCACCCATTTCATTATGACGACACGATGCGCGACGCGTCGGGCGACGTGATATGAGCCTACTTCTCGCCTGAATGAAGATGACATTCTACCCTTCGGATACCAAAGACACTGAGCAAGACTAATTATCCAACTAACGCTTCTTCTTCTTCTTGATCATCATGGACACAATCAAGAAAGCCATCGGCAGCGCCTTCGACCCTAACACAGACATCCCTGACCTTAGCGGGAAGGTAAATTGATACTCTCTCATCTACACGATCAAATTACTGACCACGATCACAGGTCTACGTTGTTACTGGCGGCTCTGCCGGCATTGGATACGGCATCGTCGCACATCTCCTTCAGCACAACCCGTCGAAAATTTACCTCCTGTCGAACAAGGAAGAGCACGCCGATGAAGCCCAAGAAGCGCTCAAGGAATGGGGTGATATAAGTAAAGTCGAGTGGCGCAAGTGCAACCTCGAAGACCTAAAGCAGGTGGACGAAGTAGCCAAGTCGCTGGCAAAGGAGCTGGACAGACTTGACGCTTTGGTCTGCAATGCTGGGCTGGGTGTCGGCGTATACAATGAGACGCGTGATGGTCTGGACAGCCACATGCAGGTCAACGTCTTCTCGCAGGCACATCTTACGCTCACGCTCTTGCCTATACTACAGAAGACGCCTGACTCGCGCATCGTACACCAATCCTCTGATCTGCATAAGGGCGCTGACTCGAGCATGAAGTTCGAATCGATCCAAGAGATGAACCAAGACATTGGCGCAATGAAGCTCTACAACCGCACCAAGCTAGCACAGATACTCTTCCTACGTGAGCTGTACTCTCGTGTCAAGGCTGGCGAATTCGGTCAAGTCACAGAGAGCAGCGGCTTACCGTGGATCAATGCGACACACCCCGGCGGCGTGTTAACGGACCAGCAAGATCAGGCAGTTGAGGCTTATGGTACCATGGGAAAGGTTGGAGTCGCAGCAGTTAGGCCGTTCATGAAGGATCCCGTAGCTGAAGGATGTCGCCCGGCCCTGTTTGCTGCCGCGTCACCTGATATTGTAAAGGATCAGATTCAGGTAAGTAGAGATCTCTCATACTTCTCGTTCAGAATCTCAAGCTGACTTCTGACAGAACTCATACATTGTTCCTGATAAGAAGGTCCAAGAAGCGTCCAAGCAGGCCAGAGATGAAAAGTTGCAAAGAAATCTGTGGAGGCTGACCAAGGAAGTCTTGGAGTCGAAACTTGGTAGTCTGCCGTACGAGATGAGAACTGATGTTGTCAACACAGCGTAGGCCGAGGGTAAATGCCGGTCCGATTACAAATGAACATTTTTCGAATAAAATTGGGATTCTTGTAGATGCGCTTCATGATTGTTCGCCCTCGACTCTTCCAAGGTGGCTTGATATGCTCTACTTGGCGGAGATAAGCGCGACCCGCGCGTCAGCTGCATGCATGTTCCCCTTTGTAAGGTACAGCCCACCTATACAGCAATACCAGATCGCATAGTGAAGCGTATGTAGCGTCTAGGTCAAGACTCACAGTTAACTATCACGTCTCGGCCGTCGCAAATGCTAGCATGTACTTTGTAGGGCGCGTTATCATACCCCGCCAACGTCATAGTACCAAGTGGGGTTCCAAGAGGCCTCTGGGCAGCGACAACTGTACAGTCATGAGGCAACATATAATAATCGGCAACACACTCGCAGTCCGTTCATCAATACAGAGCTCAAACACAAGAGGTTTTCCAAACCTATAAATACATCATTTTTGCCAAAATACGCAAACAACCGCCATCATGTCCAAACTTACAGACTTTAAACTCCTCTCCTTCGACGTATACGGTACGCTGATCGACTGGGAGGCTGGCGCTCTCATCGCTCTCCAACCACATCTCAAGAAGTCTGGTCAAGAGAACATGGATCGCAAGCACATCATGCAGGTCATGCACAAGATCGAAGCAAGAGTTGAGAGAGAACACGGCCATCTCAAGTACTCTGAAGTACTTACTATGGTGCTCCCAGAAATGTGTGAGCAACTTGGTTTGGAGAAGCCCAGTGAAGAAGAGAGCAAGGAATTTGGAGCGAGTATTGGGCACTGGCCCGGATTCTCCGACATACCCTCTGCATTAGAGAGGCTGTCCAAATATTTCAAGCTTGTCGTGCTCTCAAACGTCGACCATGATTCGTTCAAGCTTGGAAATGCGAATGGGCTCAAGGGATACAAGTTCGACGCGGTCTACACTGCTCAAGACATTGGTTCCTACAAGCCTGACTTGAGAAACTTTGAGTACATGTTGGCAAAAGTGAAGGAGCAATTCGGCATCGAGAAGCACGAGGTGCTGCAAACCGCGCAATCTCAATACCACGACCACCACCCAGCAAAGGATATGGGAATCAAGAGTTCCTGGATTTATAGGCCAGGAGCGGTTATGGGGAACCGTGATGATCCAGTGTACAACTGGAAATTCGATACATTGGCGGATATGGCGGATGCTGTGGAGAAGGAGGCGGCAGAGCAGGGAAAGTAGGCTCAGATGGGAGATTGTGTGGATATGTACGTTAATCCTGGGTAGACAGTAACGCTAGCGATACACCAATTTTTGTTCTGCACTTGACAAGGAAGGTGTCAGTCGCACAGCGCTGGCTAGCGTTGATTACTTTTCGGTGCCAGAACATCCACCGGTCGAGGCCTATGCTTTTATTGTGCTGCGTTAGCTTGCGGGGTGCAGCAGATGGCTTCTACCTCTCCGGACGCCACCGACTATCACCCCTCACCAAAATCTAGAATCCGTTTATCGTCTGAAGTCGCTTTTTCCTTACTATTGAATATCGGCGATCGCACCCAAGATTGGTGTGAGCGATGAGCTTCTTCACCGATGCGATACTTGGCTTCAGCCAAGCACCGAGCTAACATAGTATCTTGGTATAATCCATTCATTCATGGATACGTCCGTTGGGCGGGAGATGAAAGAGAAAAACTGCTTCCTCGGACGTGTCGTGAAGCGGCTTGGAGAAGGAAGGTATCCTTTATGAGGGCAAGCCTCGGAGGTAATTCATCGTGCAAGTTCACGGAAAGGCTCTAAACATCCTTGCACGACCGATATCTTGACTCGGTAGTGTCTCGGCAACGTCATTATTCGCCAGCCACGTGCCCTATCTCACCTTCAACACCAACATCGTCCCCATCACAACGTCAAACTAGCGCGAACAAGAGTAAGCGCGTGATAGATTATCCGTAGGAATAGTTACATCGCTTTTTATCCCCGCAGTCACTCCGCTCTCCGTTGCCGGTAGCGCCTACCGGTACCTATGGCGGACCGACTCCCTGCGCCGCCATCGGCAGAAGTCCGGGAGCAACAGAATACTATGAAAGCAACCCGTTTCTCCTTACGATGGCTGAAGAGAAGGTTAGCCATCATCATGATTTTCTCCGGGAGCACTGTCCTGCTGTTCTGGTACTTTGGCGCTTTTACCTATGCCAGACCATATCAGCCTGGCACGCCACAACGACCAAGTCCTCCGAACCATGAGACGCCAGATGGATCGCTTCTTGTCAGCTTACCGGATTATGGATCGTTCCAGGGCACCCAGATGCTCATGAACTTGAAGAAGACTGAGACCTTCAGTCGGCCAGTGGATGCATGGATGAATGTTGAGTATTCCACGCAACCAGTTGGTCAGGGGAGGTTCATGCCGGTAACATGGCCTGAACCTTTTGATGGTGTCAAGGATGCGACATCTACTGGGCCGGCATGTTTCCAGAACATGTACAGCTCGCTCGGACAGTCTGAAGCTTGTCTTACCATCAACGTGTACCGACCCTCAGGTATTCCTATGGACCAGAAACTGCCATCCATGGTCTACTTGCACGGAGGATCATTCGTATCGGGCTCTCACCGCAGTTTCGACGGAGCGCTGTTTGTGGAGAAGAGCACAGAACCCCTCATGGTTGTTACTGTTCAGTATCGACTTGGTGCGCTGGGCAGCTTGCCAGGCAAGTTTATGGAAGAAGAGGGCCTTCTGAACCTGGGTATCCGCGACCAGAAAATGGCTCTGGAATTCTTGCAAAAGTATATCGGCGATTTTGGAGGCGACAAAGACCAGATCACCCTCGGTGGTCAAAGTGCTGGTGGTCATTCGGTTGGTATCCACCTGTTCCACGACTACAACGAGGATGCCGGAAAGCCTTTGTTCAGCAAGGTTATCATGTCTTCTGGTTCGCCAACTGCGCGTGCCTTCCCAGGTGTTGACTACCCTATCTACCAACGCCAAGTCTCAGACATTATGGATTATCTGAATTGTCCTTTGTCACCCAGCTCTGCTGCCCTGGAGTGCCTCCGCGCCGCCGAAGCCGATGACATCCAGTTCATGTCCTCTTCGCTGTATAACGCCCACAACTACAACATCACTTGGCCCTGGCAACCTGTCTCTCCTGGCCCCCTCCTTGAGAAGCGCGGTTCAACCTCCGGCGAAGACGGCACCTTTTTCAACATTCCCATGTTGATTTCCTCCACAACCGACGAAGGTAAAGCCTTCGCGCCACAAGATCTACGTACCAACACCGATTATCTCAACTTCTGGAAGACTCTCGTTCCAGGTCTAACAGCTGAAGATCTTTCCGATCTTGAGACCCTTTACCCTGATGTAAAGCCAGAGGCTGGCACACTGGGCTACGTCTCGGACCAGTTCGAGCGAGTATCGGAGGCCTACGGAGACTACTCTTATATATGCCCAGTTCAAGACACGGCTTCCGTTCTTTCCTCAACCTCTGCCCCAGTCTACAAAGCGCGCTGGAACACACCAAATTGGGCGGCCACATACCTGGGCGTGCCGCACGCTAGCGATTCCTCATACTTTAACGGTCAAGCAAACACACAATACCCAGTGATCGCGGATATGTACAGCGCTTACTGGGCGAGTTTTATTGTCAGTGGAGATCCGAACACTTATGCCTTGCCGGGCAGCGCAACCTGGGAGCAGTACGAGGGAACTGGAAGCAGGCAACTAGTGGTCAATCCCCCGACTATGGGTGGCGCCATGATGGAGGACGAGGGCACAGCTATCAGGATGGAGCAGTGTGCTTGGTGGAGAGACCCCGAGAGGGCTGCGAGACTCAACAAGTGATCTCGGTCTCTTCTCACTATAGCTAATAATTTCATGAATTACCACCACTGCTTGTGCAATATCCCCTAGGGACCAACATGGCTTTTTAGTCTTGAGTGATACCAGGGCGCTATAGCAACCCTACTCTCTATCGTCAGATTGCTCGGATACCTTCATACTCCACAAGGGTATACTACTTGCTTCGTCATTATCTACTTTTGTTCAACCACAGCAACTCGCGACTCGTCTATCACTTCTGCAATGGACGTTCAACTTCTGGTACGAGACGTTTTCCTGGCTGGCTTGTTCAAGATACTTGCCACCGCCGTTGAGCTATGAAAATAGCAACTAACATGCAATGATTTAGCATGGAAATAGGTTGGGAACATCAAGGAAAGACGGCAACTGCTACCTCGGAGGCTAAGCCAAAGGCTGGTGCGTTCTTATTGGATGAGACTAGCACAGCCCCAGACAGGGGTACTGTGACGAGCACATCTTTGCGCATACCTTTGACACTTTATCAACGAACTCAAAGATCCGGATAATAGGTGAGGCCTTACATGCACCCTGCCTCACTTGAGCTGTCACCTTGCACGATATACTTCCAGGCAGGTATAATTTTTACCGGTGAGAAGTTCTGGCCCCCAATTCCTGGACGCCTTGCGCATTGACAATTGCAGCCTCCATTGGTGACCGTCAATATACTGCGTCGCTTCGAGACGGTGACGACTTGTTTTGCTGTGCGAGGTGTGATAAAAATAGGGACGGTGGGGTCTGAAGCTCTACACCCCCTTAGAATGATGCCATCGTAGCAATGGTATGTACAATAGCAGCACATTGCTTCAATTGGAGCCTCTACTATGAGTCACAGATGTGCCCCTAGATTTTACCGGTGAAAAGAGGTACGATGGCAGTCTAGCCTCATGGCTATCTACTCTTCCAAAGCTGGCAGAACCCTGAAAATTGATCCAGGCAACCATACCGTATTTGCAGATCCCTTCACGATAATAGGATTAGCCCCGAAAAGCCAGTATATCGGGATGGATACAAGGCGGTGCCAACGATGTGTCTGCCTTGGACGCCGCACGGCAACATGAAACTGCTTCTGCCAGACATGAAGGTGACACAGGCGAGGAAAGCCAATAGGTATATGCTGTGCATGTACGGACAGGCGCACAAGCGTAAATAGCGAGGTGATACCCATTTCGCCTACCTTTTTTTCACGTTCCACTCTCAGCTCAACTCACACGCGACGAAAAAGTTTTTTGTCGCAATCACATTGATACCACTGTTGTCGTGCTGACTGGATATACATCAACACAAACACACGCACACTCCTCATTGTACGCGCAAAGCAACATGGCTATCGCAAACCCAATTCTCAACTTCGTCGTTCGCGGCTTCCAAGCTCTTTTCGGTGTTGTTGTACTCGGGATCTCTGTCTCTTTGATACGCGGTCACCACTGGGGTAGCCTCCCAGCCAGTTTGGGGTTCTCCGCTTTCGTGGGCGGCGTCACAATCTTGGGAGCTGCTTTGGGGGTCGCTGCTCTATTCTTGACCTTCCTAGATGGCATGGTTGGCTTGATCATTGATGCCTTGGTTGCTCTCATCAATGCGGCAGGTGGAATCGTAAGTGCCAGTTTGGGCCGAAACGGTCTTGACTTTTCGATTGAATGTTTCGACTGACAACGACACAGGTACTCGCTATCAAGATCTCTGGTGTGGACTGCAACGGTGACATAGACTACCACAGTGCTGCCAAGATAGTCTTCAACGACATCTTCAATGGTGGTTGCCGCCGCGATGATCAGTGCTGGTACTGGTTCACCGACCCTGAAGCTATGGTATCGAGGTGTAGGTCGACCCAAGCCGATTGTGTCTTTATGTTCCTTGCAGTTCTTGTCCTCGCGGTATCCGCCATGCTGGCTTTCTTGCGAATGAAGAAGGGCTACTAGAAGCATAGTCGTACAAGAGTGAGTGTGTCCAAACGAATCTAGGATTAATGATCTGACTAATCGTACAAAGTCATGATAAGACATCCCTTTGGCAATTCGACTTGCCAGTAGTTAAGAGTGTTCTACGCATATTCCTGGAGGACTTCACGTCTGCCTCTTTATTTTACCACGATACCTATCATCAGAGCACTCTCTTTACGACAGTGGACGTAATCTAGTTTGGGTCTAGTTGCCAGTACTGGCATACGTCAATAATGAACACGAAGTGATGACATAAGACGCTGCGCCTACCTGCTTCCAGTTTCGTGCGACTTTACTCGATAATCTGACTGACAGTGTCATGTTGCATCCGCCCCGTCTCAGATAGCAAACAATGGCGAACTAACTCCCGGCTGTGCAAAGCGCACCCTTCTGACAGATGACTTCAAACGAGACTGATATCCTTTCTCTCCAATGCCTCACTTGTTGATCTACCTTTATGTTTGAAACCCTTGCGCTGAAAATCACCTATCCAACAAGATGCGCATCTCTCCCTCAGTCCCCGTGCTTATCGCACGTGGATTTCAAGCCATCTTCAGTGCCACTGTCTTCATAATCACCATGCTCTTAATCACTGGAAACAAATTCGGCCCTCTTCCACTTATTCTAGGGTTTTCGGCTGGAGTGAGCCTAGCAACCTTGATCGCTGCGCTCTCAACGTCTATCTTCCGTACTTCTTTGCATCCCTGGATCAGAAACACTATTGATGGCGGCATTTTGTCGCTCAATATGGCTGTTGGTACTGTAAGTTTACATCCCTTCAATGCGACGACCTTGCACCATAGGCGTCTCGAGACCACTTTATTGACTCCTTGGCTCTAGATGATGGCGTCTGAACTACAAGGGTACTCATGTAGTTCAATTCCTCCATACTTCAGTGAGGTTGTCTGTGGGGGATATCATCCGGAGATTCTGAACCTTGAAGGGTGCTATTTCTCGTACATGCTCACAGTTGGCTCTTTAGATACATGGAGTCGGTGTGTCCTTTATTCATGTAACACTGCCGTCATGCTTTCGAATGTCCCGGTAATACTGGCCGTTTGGACATTACTTTATCTAAGGACGGAGAGAGGGTGGAGAGTTGGTGGGTGGACGATCGAGAGAGTACATAATCCGTACGAGCCTATCGCCACAGACAGCGTGATACCTATGGTATCGATTCCAGTCAGAGCACGTCTGTCTTGACATGTCAAGGCGTACTATACATGGCAAGTCATCAGTACCACAAAGGAAACTATCGCACGGAACAGTTTGACTGATGCGTGCGTACCTAAGATGCGTTCGTCCATGGTGTGATTATGCGACGTCTTTTCCGCTGGACATATCTGCTAAGCCTCCCGAGGGGTATGGACATCTTTGCTATCTCCCCCTGCTCGCTCCGTTCGCACATGGAAACACACTCACCTGTTGGACATCTCACACTGTCTATTCTGTTATATGCATATCTTGCTCCCATCCCTTGCCATCACAAATCAATCAAAAACCATAGCACCAGATTGCTCCCGAGCTACTTTCAATCCCTTTTAACATGGTTTCCACCAAGACCCTGTTACCTTCGTTCATCCTTCGAAGCGTGTAAGCCTTGTTCGCTTTCATAGTCTTGGGACTATCTGTAGATCCCATCAAAGGTCACAATAGAAGTAAGTTGAGCTAGCTATATGAATAGCAATGAAGAACCCAACGAAAAGGACCTAGACTGGAGGGCTGTACAGGAAACAGGCATAGCACATATCATAAGATTCAGTCAGGAGAGACGAGAAGCAGAGATACCACATTAAACGGCTTCATTCGACCACTCACTAGGCGTGCCAACTGCTGTCCAAGCTCCTATTCTCGTAATCTGAAACAGCATCGCCTCCCATATCAACGCCGTGCATGTCCAGCCTTTGGGTATCCCCTGTATCTAGCCTCACAAACTATGCCGACCCACTCAAAAATATCATCGATCTAGACTGGGCAAGACTGCGATGGTGATTAGCGATATTCTAGTCGTAAAGACTCCTTCAAGCGTCTTACGCTGCCGCAAGATCCACAGGTCTTGGCGTCGCCGCTGATGCCGGCGCCGCACTTTGGGCAGTCGCCGTGGAAGTTGACAAGGACGGTTGTGGACTGCATATTGGCCTTTAAATATCGGGTTTGTTTAGTATCGTAGGAGAATGCAATGTTGGTAGTATCGTGGAATGCGCTGATAGCTGTTCGAAGTTGGAGGGGTAAAGTGGGGTTGATATAGAGAGCTCAGGTAGCTACAGGCAGCTACGACAGGCCTAAGTAGCTAGTGCATAAGCCGTCAGATGACTGGCACGCGGTAAATGCGGTTGGTCTTGCGATTGGAGGTAAGCGGAAAGCGTGGGATGAGTGTAACGTAGACGTGCGGGGCCAAGTACTAAGGATGTTGTCCGATAGGAAGGTAAGAGGCGCGAGGCGAAAAGAATGACCGAGAGGAAGGACAATACAGGTGCCTGATTACCTATAAACCCTACCTAACGTGGCATATGATCTGTCCGTTGATAACGGCGAACCAGCCGTCTTCCTTTTTCTCCATCTCTCTCCACGTCGCTGCAATTTCTTCCAGATCCTGCTCCGTCGCGTATCCGCTGTCTAGAGCCCTTTGTTTATAGTCACTCTTAACAGTCCTATCGGCCCAAAGTCCGCACCAGAACTCCCTCTCTTCCGGCGTGCTGAACGTCCAGGCCGCTACGCTAGCCTCGATATCGCCTCTTGGAAACCCTGCTTGCATGGCTATCGCATGCAGATACTTGCCCATGTTGGGATGTGCCTTCAATCCAAATGCGATCTTGATGTATAGATCTTTCCACTTCTGCATGCCCGGATGCTCTGGGTACCAGTCCATAGCGCTGTAGTTGCAATCTCGAACTGCAACGACGCCGCCTGACTTGGTCAACCGCTTCATCTCCTTCATCGCACCCAGCGGATCTTGTAGGTGTTGCAGCACTTGATGTGCGTGCACGATATCGAAGCCCCCCTCCTCTACGCCGTCAAGTTTGTCCCATTCAAAGATATCTCCAGCCTCAAATCGTATGTTTGTGACGCCCCTTTCTTCTGCGTGTTTTCGTGCCTTTTCGATCACTTCTGCAGAGGGATCGATGGCATAGACGAAGCCTTGTGGGACGCGGGTAGCAAGATCAACGCTGATGGTGCCTGGCCCGCAGCCTACATCGAGGATCTTGAGCGAAGGGTTGTTGAGGTAAGGGAGGAGGTGAGGACAGGAGTTCTCGACTGTACGCCAGCTATGAGAACGGAGGACGGAGGCATGATGGCCGTGGAGGTATGGTCCAGACATTGTCGGAAATTGGAACAATCGTAGCGAGGGTTGGTTGCCGATCTAATGAGTATGCATTGGATAAGACCAGCAACTGAGGGCAAGCGTGTTCGTATATGTCCAGTCGTAGCTGCAGCCTAGGTTAGTTGCGGGGTTAGCTGGACATAACAGTCGCTTTATTTCGGCAATAGCATATATCACATTCTTGAATGCGCCGAAATCGCTGTTGAGCTATCCAGGGATCGTGCGATCTAGCGATATGGGACAGTTGGGAGGAGGTCGCTTTTGACGGGATGGGTAGGGCAACCTGCATCTTCAAGTCCGAGCATCGGCCATCTCGGTACCATCGCTTAGTCATTCGCCTGTCTGTTCGATTACCTTGCACCGACTGTGTTCTTGGTAGATCTTCAACATGGAATTGATATTGGTAGATGAGATATGAGATTATCAGTGCGTTGTCTTTGTGCTGCTCTCTAATTTCGCGGTGGAGCCGTTCACGCGTTTGTAGAGCATGCAAGTGGACCAGACATGCGCCGCCTGCAAGCTTACTTTTGAGATGATCTCAGGCTGAGATTGACATAGCATTGGTGCCCACATGATCTAGGTCGGTGTTGTTCGTAGAGCAGCTGTTGAACTCATTTGCCTTGGCTATCAACGAGCGCTGGTGGACTGCAGCCGTTGTGTTGCGTCAAGCAAGCCCAGCGGCTTCCCCCGAACCGTCCTGACTGGCTGGCCCGGCCTATTCCGTCACAATCATCAACCCGGCCTTCCTTCCACAAGCAACTTCATCTTCTGCAAGCTTTAGACTTGGCTCGCATACCACGACGACAGGGCACTCGTCTCACAGCATAACTTTGCATTGTCAGCCAACAGCATGCCATCCCCGGCCGCCACCCCAGCCACTGGAGCCACCCGCTAGTCCTAGAACAGACAATGGTAAAATCCATGGATACATGAACCTTGGAACGGGCCCTCGCATTACACGGAAGCGACGCACGACATATATCCACAAAAACCTCACCGTCGGGTTCTGGGTCCTCCTCCATCTCATCGTGGGTTACTGCATCGAGCAGTTCTCTTGAAACCATTGATTGCTGGCATTGGGCATTGTCCGTTTTAGATTTGGTCGGCATAGATAGCTTGCATGCGAGCTACATTACATTATGCAGGTCTTGATTCGAACACCCTGCGGCACGGTCACTGACACGCGACCACTGATCTAGATGACCCGACTACATCTATCTATACGCAAATCCTTCGCAACCAATGCTATCTTCACAACTGCCATTACTGACACAACTCCAGTCGTATCTGCCTGTGACTTCTGGAGCAATCTACAGGATTCAACACCGAATCGAGCTACTATCGTCTGGGACCATCAGCGGCTGGGCATTATTCTTTTGCGAGCTTTGACCCCACTATCTTCGCTACCATGAGCCTTAATCATGCTTTCTCTTTCGTTCAGCACCGACTCCACACCAGGGGCGTTTCCCTCCAGTATCACTAATCTGGGGTCTTCACGATTCCCTCGAACAGAGGGGTTCAGAGCATTATTCCTTTCTATTCGGACCTCACAATCAAGCGCTCGTACATCCACGGAGTGTTATGTTCCAGTTATTTGCCACAAACTATTCTGGCATATTGCTTGGGATTTTGATACGGTTGCGATGTCTCATTTGAGAGAGCCTTCTTGTTTCCATGTTTTTGGTATTGCGGTGAATATGAGTGATTCATCACGTCGGTTTGTCGCGAAACAAAGATATGACAGTGTTAAATATGCGGAGTGTTTCCTGGACTCAACTCTGTTAGGGCAGACCAAGTCATCAAAGAAGATAAAACCTAGGAGAAGGTACGAGGTGAGAGTTAACAGGCACGATTCAAGATCGAGTGAAAGAACTATCGACTGAGCTATTACCCAAATCGCGATCAATCGCGCCTCACGGAAGGACTCTTCTTACGTGGCTGCTCCGTCCGCTCACCCATCACGCATCTGGAACATACACGTAATATCATTATGTCCTCAACTCCGACCGCTACTCACTCTCTTCACTGCACCGCCGCTCCGAGCCGACCCCTCACCTCCGACAGAGCTGCCCTTGGAATCTTTGGACCGAGACTTTACTCACTTTACATCAATTGGCAAACCAGTATCGAGAATCCCGACCAAGCAGCGCTTTACCCGTCAAAAGCAGTATGGAGAAGAAAAGTACAAGCGGTGCGAAACCAGGAAGTGGGAGGAATACCCAGTGCGCATACATTCAAGGCCTTCATGAATACGAAACAGGTCAAGGAACAGCTTTACATGCAAGATGTAGGAGATTGTTCGACTGTCGAAGACGGCGAAGACGAGGGGGAAAAGGAAGAGGAATCCCTAGATCTACTTACCACACGCTTCTGCAAGCACCCTGTCCATCCCGGCAACCCTTGGATGGGCGATGTCTGCCCGGGGTGCCTCATTACTCAGTGTATCGCCTCCCTTGACCGGATTGCACATGTCTGGCGCCTTGTCGGTGGGCCCTTGAAGCCTTATAGCTCTGGAGACCCAGAATTGTCTCATGTTTACCATGCAGCTAAGCGAATTTGGCATGTTGAGAAAGTTCGATGGGCTAATCTGGTGGACGTGTACGAGCGGTGCGCAAAAGAAGAGGTATCGTGGGAGGAAGACTCTCTGCAAACCGGCTTGGCGATTCCAGCGTCAGTGATGGGATCTAGTAGCTGCATGAAAGCGCTGGATCTCGCGATACTAACCCCATTCCTTGCGGAAGGATGGAGCGAGTTCTTTGTACCAAAGAGGCGCTCAAAAAGGCGTTGCGTGGGAGGCGAGTCGCAAGGAACCTCTGTTACTGGGGATGAGGAAAACGAGACCCCGCATTCTCCACCTAGTTCGCCCAAGCCGGAACAAGAAACATTGTGGTACCTAGATGGGATCTCTGATGGGTTAGAGTCAGACAAACAGAATGAGAATGGTACCAACGGAGCGAATATAAGCTTATCTCCCCCCAGCAAGTCAACCCTTACACAACGCTCCCCATCAGCCTCCTTAGATTCAAGCACCTACGCTCTACCACCATCACCAATAACACCATGCTCCCCACCTCAAACTCCGTCCCAGTTTCTTCTACATTCTCCTCCTATGTTTGGAGTATACTTCCCCGACGACCTTCTGTCGCCTTCATCACGACGATCGATATACTACCAGCGATCCTCTCCTTCGTATACACCGGGTGAACACGCCAGTCCAGCAGGTAGCATATGGGTCGACACAAGCTTCATGAGCGATTGCAACTACGATCTTCTCGGTGGCACACAAAACGAAGACGAAGAAGCGGAAGAACATAGAAAGAAGCGGAACGATTATGCTAATGAAATGCTTCAGCTACGAGGAAACGACTTCATAGATGATGGTATGAACATGGTCTTTGGGGAAGAGGTAGAGGGGATGGAGGATGACTGGAGTGACGAAAGCGACTCCGATGACGAAGAGGACGACCTCATACACACAGGCAGGGAGATCTTGAGCCAGAAGAGATTACCCGGTCAAGTCACAGGGTTGAGTATCCAGCGACCATTTTTCTCGTTTCGTTGGCAGAAGCAAACAGAAGCAAGGGAAACAGACGAGACGAGGGGCGACGCTACGTCGCATGAGTTTGAAGACGAAGAGGTTGAACAAGCAATGCGAGAGATGACTCCCGAAGCGACGGAGCCTTCTGTGCAGTCAACAACCAACGTTGATATGCCAATGATTGCCAGTGGCAGAGCGGAGGAGATGGGAGTGGTGTCGCTGGCCGGACCGGAGACCCAAGTATCTCCTCGTCGCCGGAGTTACGAAGAGTTCAATGAATTTGGAGAGACAAAGGAAGAAGATGGTGTGAAGAGATACTGTCACTAGATAAGATCTCGTTAACTGTCTCGACATTGCGTGTTGAAGACTTGAATGGGAAAGCTATTTATACATAAGCATCCATAGGCAGCGTAGGCAGAGATGACATACAACTTCCGGTGTTGTGGCGTTTGGAAAGTGAAGCGTAGTGCTCTTCCATGCAGCTAACACATATACCTTTTGCCAGCTTCGTCATTTGGCGCTCAAATACTTCTCCTGCGCTTACCCCATCGATCAGTACACTCACATATACGTGCCTCACGAAACGAAAACATGAGCTGCCAAGATGCAGGTAAATAATGATCATGTATTGAGATAATGACAGAAGTTGACGGCAAGCAGCACCAGTGTGCAACGCGCTTTCAAATGCGAACGCAGTCGAGTTTAACACCTACAGTGATTTTGCCGGCTATATCTTTGACAGAAAATGCCAAAACTGCAACGCCAAATTCATACAAAACAGCGGTGGCGTCAATACACTGTTCCAGAGCTGGCTCAGTGGACAAGGTAATCTCGAAGGCCTCCATAACCAGATGTCAGAAATTGACAGTCACAGCAACGATCAGTTCGCAGGTCAAGTGCAGTAAGTGCTCGAGAGCCTGTTGCATCGCCTGCTTCAACAAGTCCAAGGCACTAGAAATACCAGTCAATGGCACCAAGATAGTATGTTGCTGCAGCCGCGGGCGACTTTTCATCATCTGGGTGATGCTTTGCGGATTCGATCGAGAATACTGCCAGGCCAAGAGGAGTGATGCAACAACGAAGACTAAGATCAACAGAACTGTCGAAAGGGGTACAGGCTACGACCAGAGTCACATGAGCATGCCAGAGATGTTTGGTAGCAGGGAATTTGGAGGCCGAGGTAGACATCGAGCTTTGGACACGGAAAGGCAAAAAGACAGGTTTTACGAGAATCTGTTCGCCTTCCTTGCAGTGTTGTGTCCCAGTCCCGATCACAACAAGCCAGACACCACGCGTTTCGATGTCGACCCACCCAAGGCCGTCTTGTCGATGTTGATTAACAGCAAGGTCCTCGATAAAGCCGCGGAGCTACTCCGAAACGACAGTTTGGACGATGCGACTAAGAGAAAGAACCTTTACATGGCTTTCTTTGGCTTCCTCCGCAATGTCGGAGTCCACAAACTATCAAAACAGGCTGTCATGTTCAATGAGCGTATTGTATTCCCGGACAATATCAATCTCCTGACGCTGTCTTTCAAAGGTCTTACAGAAAACTTGTCTGGCCAAAACGCCTCTGCACTCGCCGGGAATCTTCGCAATCTGAACATCCAGAGCCAAGTCATGCTAAGCGGTGCTCAGAGGTCACGGAATGAGTTTCAGGATGAGCAAAGTACGGACCTCTTGTGGCTTTGTCGCGAGATATCCGACCTTTCCCAGTACCTCGAGATTGGGGAAGGCAATGCAGGGCCGGTGGATCATGGTATCGTCGAAGTGCCAGATGATCAGATCTGGCCCTATTTCCATTTTGCGAGAGAAGCGCAGATGACCACTCAATCGCCAAGGGGTCGTGTCAAACGACTTATCATTGAAATAACGACATTGAAGACAGGACTGTCATCTGGGATATATGTCAAGCACGCCATATCCCGACTTGATGTGATGAAGTAAGTGGGTCGGTAAGTTGTTGCCGCCTAAGCCGGTTACTAATCCTTGTAGAATTCTGATTGCAGGCCCTGAAGGCACGCCATATGAGAACAGGCTTTTTGAGTTCGACCTTTGGTGTACAGCCGAGTTCCCTTACAAACCTCCACAAATGTTCTTTCGAGGTACACAAGGCGGCCAACTCATATTAAATCCGAATCTCCACAAGGATGGAAAGGGTAAGCTTGCTGCGACTTACGATCCCGGTCATGTATTAATCCCATTGTAGTATGTTTGTCCCTGCTTGGTACTTGGCCAGGCGAAAAATGGTGTCCAGGCGAATCGACCATCCTCCAGGTCCTAATCAGTATCCAAGCTATGATCTTTGTTCCTGATCCCCTCGACAACGTCCCAGCGGATCACTCGAAGACAGGAGCTGAAGATTTTTTCAGTATCAAATTTATTAGTGGCTTGACAACGGAGTACGCAATACTGAATTGGGCCCGTGATCCACCTGGCTTCTGGAAAGATGTTGTAAACCTTCACTTTCACAAGCATGCAGACACGATTCTGCGTACAGTTGAGCGTTGGGCAGTTAGCGCTAGTCGTACCTGCACGCACTATCCCAATCAACAGCTCTCCTTCTTCTTGCCACGTGTGCGACAGCATCCAGTGGATTTCGCAACAATACTACCACAACTACAGGTAACTCTCCAAGGATACGGTGCAACGTACGTTCCGCAGAAGATAGCCCCTTTGCATAGCCAGCAGAACATAGTCAGTGGCAGAACCGGACATGGATCACAGATGCCGCCATATGCCCGAGGAGGCCGATCCAATGGTCCCAGTAGTATGGGGGGTTATGGAGGTCCTGGATTTCAATTAGGGCGCGGATTCTGATAGGTGGCGGGCCATCCGAACACTGCAATAGGGTTCGGCGATGCGAAGTATTCGTGGTGACAGGTGGTTGCAATTCGTAGCACATGCAGATGTTGACAACAAGAATGCAAGATTGTGATGTTGTAGAGATATGCATTGTGAAGGCGCGATATGCTCCAGTGCGCTAGCGCCTTGGCATACATTTTCCGCGGCGACACCATCAACGCTCCACTGGTATCATACCCACGCCAGAACGCACAACCGCCTCCATCGCACACCCTCTTCGGCCGACCGCGGCGATTGTTGGATTCTCGAGTCGCCGTCATGCTGTCCCGCGCCCTCACCACCGCGTTCCGACGTCCATGCTCAACCCAAACCCTCCGCACCACCCTCCGCACCCGCACCCAACACATCCACACGCCAACATGCTCCTGCGTACGACCCACCCTCTCCACCTTCCGCGCGCAAGCCTCACAACAATCGAACTATGGAATCCGAGACCTCGTCTCAGGCTTCAATGGCCTGAGCATGGGTGGACGGATACAAACGCGCGGCATGAAGGTGCGGAGTTCGGTCAAGAAGCTGTGTGATGGATGTAAGAGCGTAAGGAGGAAGAAGGGGCGATATGTGTACATCATCTGTTCGAAGAATCCTAAGCATAAGCAGAGGTGAGTTTGGTCCGGGGTGGACACGGTGGGGGAGTGACGATTGGAGTATGCTAACACCGCGTAGGCAAGGATAGATGCATTTGTGGATACTTGTGAGGCTAGGAGAGGAATTTGGGAATATCTTGAGTGATGGGTTGATGGAGAGCGACAACCCGAAAGGAGGAGGAGCTGTATCATATGTATGCATACAAAGGCATTACAGGCGTTTAGACGGGTACAACAGCAATTTGGAACAAACACTCAGCTACTGCAGCAAATGGAATCTACTCAAGACATCGAAGTTATGTCAGTCATGCATGTCATTACATCGTGATCGATACCTTTATGGCCACTTATCCCATACTGCCTCCACTCCTGTCACCAGAGATGATACCCGCCATCTTCAACAACTCTCGATCCATTTCTGCGTCTCCAGTCCCAAGATTGACCCTCCGTCTAGCCTCCGCCTCGCGCTCCTGCCACGCCCACTCTTTCCTTTGTTGTTCTGCAACCTCGTCCCCACCACAGCCCCAAACCTCCAAACTCTCAATCTCGAAGCGATCCTGCCAATCCTTCTTCTTCCTTCCAGGTTGCTTGCTTGGATGGAAGGAGCCGCCACCCTCGGAAAGATGCGTGAAGATACCAAACTCAAGCGCATCGTCAAGATGCAAGGAAACCGGGCCAGGACGGAAGGGAGAGTGAGAAAACTGCGACGAGGAAGCTGATTGTGTGGGGATAGGGGTACCTAGACCGACACCGGCGGGGTAAGTTGGTGATTTAGAGAAGTAAGTGTAGTCTTTGCTAAAGGTTGAGGCTGTAAAGACATCGTGCGTAGGTGAAAGCTGAAAAAGTTCTGTTGAGGAGTCGCCAAAACAGGTCTTGCCAGTGTGTTTCCATTGCGAAGAGATGTAGGCGCCGTAGATGAGGGTTTGATTAGGAGAGGTGGAGGTTACGCTGTCTGGTAGGCGTTTTGGTGGTAGCATGTCCTGCAGTGCCCGTTCGCGAGTGCTGGAGGGTGTTGCGGGGAGAAGACGGCCTTTTACGAGAAGGATGGTGGGCGCACGCCAATTGAAAACTTGCTTTTCAAAGGATCCCATGCTGAAGCCATGTGTGTTACCGCTGTATAGAGGCCGCAATCGCCGGAAGAGATCGCTGCCTTTGATAAAGAATGACAATTGGCTCAGTGTCGTCAGATTCAAGATCTCACCCGGTTCTCGGAGCACTGGTTCTAATTCTGCCTTTGGTGGAGGTATTACAGGCTTGCTCTCTTGGGTGGGAGATCCAGGGCCTGACTTCCGTTTGGAGAGGTCAAAGTCTTTCGCGAAGAGGAAATGCTCGAAGAGTGGGTTGAGACCATTGAACAGGTATGGTAAGGACGTCGAGACGACAGTATTGAATGTGCGATACGTGACACCGGGATGATTGTCCACGCCAAAAGACGACAGTATAACATTCGCGGCCTGCCGCAGCTCCGCTACTCTTTTGTCTGAAAGGTCTGGTGCCAGTGACGAGACGCTTTGCTGCGCATCGATCGGCGCGATGAGCAGTAGTAGTTCGACCAGCTTGAGGAAATTGTCGGTCGGTATGATCGAATGATGTACGTTCGTTTGTTCTCCATGTTTGAACGCATCGATGGCATCCATAGAGTCCAACGCAGCCAGCACCAACTCATCGTCATCCTCGTCCTCCCCTGCTTCTCCCTCTTCAGGCGCATCGATGGCAAACCCCAGATTACTGCTCCCCTCTTTCCATTGCTTCGGCTGATGGTCCATCTCTTCTTTTTCCTTGTCTTCCAGACTTGAGCGTATACCCTTGTCGTATATGGCCAAACTCCGGTAGAGCTCTCTTAGCCAGATCTCCTTCCCTCTCCTCTTGAGCACAGCTCCATATCTCTCTGTAAGTATAGTGACAACCTTGAGCAGCGCCTCGTGCGTAAGTATAGCTGGCGCTTGACTAGGGAGTGGGAATGCTCCAAGATAACTAGCCATCTGAAAGACGACAGAGCCCACGCCCAGCGCATCTGGTAGCTCGAGGAACCGACATAGTGTGCTCTCACTCCAGTATTTCACACCGGATTCAGTATCAGCGAGGGATCGGAACACGGAGTTGAAGCAGTAGAGCTCGAGAGGGGAGAAGCTTTTCTGTGCGAATCGTTGGGCTATGGTTTGTGAGAGCTGCTCTGGAAATTGGTTAGTCAAGATGCTTAGGCGGCAGCTTGGAAGCGGCAATCAAGGATCGAGAGGTTGTAGATTGCGCACACGTACCTAGTGTCAATTGCGGGGTATCGTGCGATGCTCCTTGACCCATTATCGCGGTAACTCAGCGGCTTCAGTCCGGTGAGACATGGATGAGGGAGTAGTCGCGTCGCGATGCGAGTGGTTCGATGAACGATGACGGAATGCGGGCTATCTCCGATAACACCGAAAGACTTATGGCTGGGCGCCATGCTTCGAGTGGCACCTCTCTACCTCACATGCACATGGACCTATCCCCATTGCATACAATGTTCTATAGTCAGCCTTTTCCAATCAGATCCGTGTCCACAGTTATTTTCTTTTCCAAAATATGAAGTTTGGTAGCGACTCGTCACATGGTCACCTCAATCGGTCTCAGCCGCGCTGTCGCCTTGTGTTGCCTTGAGGTTCTATTGGGTAGGTGCGGCCCTGTGCATATCCGTGGTTAGGCATTACCCGTCATTCTCATTTCCTGTGAACCTTCTTTGAGCACAGCTTGGAAATCGCCAGTCTATTTCTCCGTCACTTCGCCATTCACTACGCATAAGGGCTATCAGCGTTCACCGGCTGCAACACGTGCTTAAGGTGACTGCGCCTCAGCCTCACCTGATTTGGTCTCTCGTACACCACACTGAAACTAGGTATACACGCTTACACCACATCTCCTGGTCGCACTTATTGCCAGCGCTCAACCACCTCGCTGGGTCGTATTCACGTTCAACGATCAGCACTAATGCAATAACATATCTCAAAGGCCTACAATATCGATCTAACTCTACGGAGCCTTGAGATAGCATCTCATTGCCAGTGCAAGAAGTGAGTCAAGTATGGAAACACGAGGGGAATCGATGGACGGCCCTGAGAAAGGACAAGCAAAGGGGCAGTTTTCTGCCTCTGAGCCCACCCACGATAACTCGGCTGCAACTGCCAGCGGGTCAAACTGGAGACCTGTCAAGGACGATGGAAGAGTCGCACACTACCAGGAAGAAACGCCAACAAACTACGTCACCCTTAATACCTTTGAGGACCTCACGGCTCACCTTAAGACGACGAAATGTCGCATCTGCCAGGAACCGTTCTTTACCTCGGAACTCGACATTCGTCGTTTGTTCCAGGATTGGGCGGATGGCGCGGTAGATGAACTGTCCTGCAACGTTCGATGCAGTAGCTGCAACACGCGCTCATGCATCGCATGCGAGCCAGAACCCTTCGCAAGACCTTCTAAGATCTTGTCTCAATCTAGCAAACAATGCGTCTCGTGGTGCTGCGTTGGCGGTCGGTTATTTCTTATATGGGCACTCCTTTGTGGATTCGACCGGCACATCTGGGAATCTAGGGATGTCGGAAAGATTTCGAAGCAATCCAAGCTGGAGTCAAAGGCGCGTAAGACGGCTAATAAGCCCACCCGCGGTGGTGCTGTAGGCCTAAGGGGTGGTCATAGAACTCCGGCGGGCCACATGCCTCGTGGTATGGGGTATGGAGGACATGGTTACGACATGCACGAAGAAACTGACTATGATTACGACACCGATGAACTTGAGGAAGGCGACGATAGCGGCAACTTTGATGGTCCGGAGTGTGTGACAAGCGAAGCTAAGGGCTCCGAGCACAACTTAGGACACGTCGTGAACTCGAAGGAACCGGTATCTCCAAAGCCCAAGAAGGAAACCAAGATTTCAAGAGCCCGAAAGGCACAGATATGTGAAGATGTCTTCTGTGAAATGGTTCTGGGCTTCTTGACAGATCTGCTTCCGAGCCTCGAGCGAGAAACCTGCTTTGATTTCGATCCTCCTGAAGCTGTTCTGGAAATGCTCCGCAACAGCAAGATTCTCCAATACTGTGCAGAGTTACTCCGAAACGACTCATTGGCCGACGTTATGAAGCGCAGAAATCTCTACCAGACTCTGTTCACCTTCTTGATGAACGTGGGGTCACATAGCGAAACGAGTGCGGCTCTTTTTGGCCCTCGCTTTGTGCGTCCCGAGATGGTAGATCTTCTCACATTATCGTTCTGCGCTGCTGCACCCGATTTGAGAGAAAGCGTTTCCGTTCTCGCAGAGTGCCTACGTAATCTCACTACTCAGAGTGCCATGATCCTCCTGAGCGCTAAGAACAATGAGGAGGACTTCAAGAATCAAGAAGGCCAGCAGATGATATGGATCTGTAGTAGCATCTCAGCCCTTTCACAATTTATCAAGGATAACACCCCCACAGAAGCTGGTAGCGAAAAGGGCAAGGAGGCTGCAGTAGTCCTTGAGGACCTTGCAATGGGAGAAGTGGAGGAGAACTTGATCAAACAGACTCATCACTATTACAAACAGGCGAAGAAACTTGACTTTTCCCGTCCGGGGAGGTTCAAGCGACTAGTTACGGAGATCACAACGCTGCAAACAGGCCTTCCGCCAGGTATCTTTGTACGCTATTGTGAGAACAGGCCAGACATCCTCAAGTGCGTCATCACTGGGCCTGTTGGAACACCGTATGAGAACGGCCTTTTTGAGTTCGACTTCTTCTGTACCACGGATTTCCCCCATACCCCTCCACTAGTCAACTTTAAAGGAACAGCAGGTGGTCGTATATCCATCAATCCAAATCTCTACGCCGATGGCAAGGTCTGCTTATCCCTTCTCGGTACATGGTCTGGCGAGCCCTGGAGTGCTAGCGAGTCAACGTTACTGCAAGTCTTGATATCGATACAGGCAATGATACTGTGTGAGGAGCCGTGGTACAACGAGCCAGGAAGAGAGGCTGGCTACACTCGCAGTCCCAATAGTCCTTCGGCAATGTACAACGACAAGATTTGCGAGCACACTGTACGTACTGCGATTCTAGCTTGGCTCGACAAACCGCCGCCACTATGGAAGGACGTAGTCGATCATCACTTTAGAGAACATGGCAATGCCATCCTCAAGACAGTGGAAGAGTGGACCAAGAACAAGATGAGTGGTACGAAGAAGCCCCGCCCTGAAACCAATCCTATCGACGATGAACTATACGACTATGATGAGATCTTTGCTGTTGCTCGAGGTCGAACTGTCACTTCAGAAGATATGGGTACTATGCTGCCCAAGCTACACACTGCTTTGAAGGAGCAGTATGGGGCCACATTCGAAGTCACATATGTGCCACCTGTAGAAAAGCCGACTCCACCGCCACCAACTCCAAGGAGACCAGATCCCTCGTCATCGTTGTGGCCGACGGTCGGATCTCTACAATTCGATGTTGGGCTAAGCGCCTCGGGAGCGCCGCCTCCAGGGTCCACACCACCTGCATTGGCTCCACCATCATCACTCAGCCCACCACTTGGTGTGGCTAGTTCGATAGAATCATATCAGCATCAGATTGCTGCCACTGCAGCTGCTGGACGTGGTGGCTACACTCAAGGCATGGGCCGCGGAGCATTCTCGGGTGGGGACTCCGTTTTCGGCTACACCCTATACAACTGGGATGGAGGCGTGGCGATGCCAAACACGCAGAGTGGATCTTCCATGGGAGACTCTTCCGGTGCTCCTAGGTATGACACCAGGTCGACTACCCGTGGGCGCGGTGAGTACGGTGGCAATTCAAGCACCCGCGGAGGGCGGGGAGGTTTCCCCCTCGGTCCTTCACTGCCTTCATCTGGTGCCGACATCAACTTGGGTAGTGGTCGAGGCCGAGGTCATACAACGCTGGGTCATGGGCCTGGGGAGGGAGATGCACAGGGTGGTCAGGCAACTTCATTTGCTCCCTTCTCTCCCCCAACTCCCACCAACTTCGGTTGTGGACGAGGTGCAGCTCCTCCGGACGACAACTTGACCATAGGAGATGCGCTACCTGGGACTCGTGGTCGGGGCTTTACCAACGGTCGTGGCGGACGAGGCGGCCGCGGTGGACGTGGGCGGGGTAGAGGTCGTGGCGGTCGAGGAGAGGGCGGACCTTAGAGAGAAACTGAGGTGGAATGGCATGGTTGCTGCTTGAGATGAGGGGTTGTACCTGCCTATCAACGGGATCGCAAGGCATGAGCGATAGCATTCTTCACATCACGTAGATGGGACCACTAGTAATCGGGAATAAGCATGGTGGAATGTAGGTAGTAATTGATGCATTCAGAAAGATATCGGCAGGCCTTGCACAACGACGTGTGCTCATACCAACATACCCGGATACACACATCCATCCCATAGCAAAACCGCTATCCAAACACCGCAGCAGATGCACGCTGGAAGAACTCACGATTACAACATGACCAAGCCAATACCACCCATGTGGTCCTTGCTTGACTGGTTGCGGCCATCAATGCCACCCGGTATCGGCGCAGCGCGGTAGTTGTACAGGTAGTAGTGCAGCGAGCCGTCTCCGGCGCCGAAGCGTTGTTCCTCGAGGAAAAGCGGGTTGTCAAGGAGTGTGAGAGCGTTGAAGACGTCAAAGTCGGCCTGGTCACAGCATGTTAGTAGAAGTTTGGGTTGTCGGACAGCAACGAGGTGGAGTGCTTACTTTCTTGGCCAAGATCAACGCGTCCTTCATCAACAGGTTCAGTCGCTGCTTTAGCTTCGTCTTATCCTTGTCCTCTTTTTCAAACGCTACTTCTGTGCCATAGTAGAACAGGTACGCTGCCTTGATGGTGTTGTGCTTCTTGTTACCGATCACCGTACTCTCCAGGTTGTAGAAAGAGAAATAGTCGGTGATCTTATGAGTGTCGGGATCCTCGACAACATAGCTCCATACAACCTGTTCCTTGGGCTTCTCCTTTGGCGCCATCCAGTGCTCGAACTCGGTCTTGTTGAAGACTTGTGCCATATCCATGCGCGCTAGGTATCGCTTAAGAAGATCGACAGCTGCGTCCACATCCTTGGCCTCCATCTCGCGGAGTCCAGGGGTAGCTGTGGTATCTGGGAGCTTGTATCGTACAATTTGACGTGTCTTGGTGCTACCATGGGGGAGAGGGGAGAAGCCGACATCATATAGCTTCTCCCAGTCGATCGCGCGGTGGAAGTAGCGAGCTGTCGATACGGGAGTAGGTAGCAGAGACCCAACGGTATATACCGCTTGGAATGTGCCCTCGACGTAACAGCGGCGGGTGATCTCCTTGATGAGGACGGGTGCTAATCGCTTAGAGCGGAGCTTCTTGTGGACGCAGAGGAAGTTGACTTCGGAGCAGTTGAGAACTTTGTCGCGTACTCGCATCTGTATTGGGATACCGGAGATGAAAGCAACGAGCTTGCCTGAGGCGGTTGCGCGGACACCAACGTGCCATTCCTTCTTCCAGCCTGGTGCTTTCAGGGCCCTGCTTGCGTTAGCGGAAGTCGTCCATGGCAGCACGCGATTGCCTACCAGTTCAGAAATGATGGCGAGTATTTGAATCGGAAGGTCGCGTCCTTGTCTTCAACGTAGTGGTTTGTGAGCAGCTCATAGACCTCCTCGAGCTGCTTTTCGTCCTCCAGGTCCATCGTTACCCACTCAAAACCGGGGTACATGGGACTTGGGTTCTTGTCAACCTCCTCGATCTTGATCTCCTTGATAGGTCCGTCCTTGATCTTTTCCTTGTTGGCCATTTCCTCGAAGCTGGGCACGGGCTGCGTCTTCCAGAAGGCGTGACTGGCCATGTCCTTTTGGCTGCCTTGGGGCGCCAGACCTGTCAGCATCTCGTTGATGTTGAGCTTCTTGATCAATTGCGCCAGCTCCTCCTTGCTGTTTGCCTTGCCCTGCAACTCGTTCGCTAGGCCGGGATTGTTGGCGAGCAACATGTTCAGCGCTTCCTTTGGTAGGACGTTTCCTGCGGGCGCATTCAAGTCTGTGACGTCGCCGGCCTTGCCCTTGCCGCTGATGGCATCCTTCATCTTGCGCTTCCTGCTCTTCTTCTTCTTTTCTGACGCCCCCTCTGCGTCTTCTACTGTCTCGGTCGCGTCATCGCCGCTCTCGTCTGCGGATTCCGCTTCTGGCTGCTTGCTCGATTCGGCGACAACTTCGGCGGCCGCTTGCGACGTCGCGTCCGGGTCTGACACCTTTGAGTTTTCCTGAGGCATAGTGGAAAGGTATAGGTGGTGTCGGCGGTTATATGGGGGAGGTGTGGCTGTTGAGTGTTGACTGCCAGCTCAGGAACAGGTAATTGAGAGCACTGCGAGCTGCTTGAGTGGGGCACATGGAGGGGCTGTCGCGTCGCGCTTGCCCTGCACCCTCATCATCACCACAAATTCATTTGTATTCTGCTGAGAGGCGCAGACAATACTTTACACTTGGAGAAATATGTAGTTCAAAGTTTGATTCTATAGAGAAAAAAGGACAAGTAATTGGGTATCTTTCCAGCCAAACTCCAAAACACCCCTCGAGCATCCAGAACATCTGGAAAGCAACATACGTCAAACTCGTAAAAACTCAAAAGGTATCATACAGAAGAAAATCAGATCAGTAGATCTAGGAAACATCGTGCAGAACAAACCCAAAGATACCATCGCATCCAAAATCCTCAACACCGAATCCACCTCTTCCTCCCCTTACGCGATTCCACTCAAGCACCCCTGCTTGCACCTACCCTCCCAGCCTCCGTCACTTGCTTCTCACTGTCCATCCCACAAAGCACCACGCACCCATTCAATCACCGAACACAGATAAAACATAAACAAGTCTACCCTCAAACCCCTCAATCCTTCAGAACGGGACTTTTCAGTCGCTCAGGCACCGCGGACGGACTATACCTGCTGCATGGGATTGGTGAGAAGCTGTTTGAAAGACATTTGTGTGCACTACAACTACACTGTCTCGGCTTCATAAAGGGTTCGGCTAGGCTTGTCTATGTTCGATCATGGTTCAAGTGGAAGGGGAAGGGGTAGTGGTGAGATGGTCCGCGAGAATCGGTGACGGATGATGGTGACGGTAGGCGTTGTTTGGAGTGTTCGAGTGGCGTTGGCGTGCGGTGAGGATTCCGTCTTGTCGATGCTGTTTCTCTCTTCCCCGTCTGTATCTTTGATCGGAGCGTTCACAGTTCCACCAGTGCCTAGGCAAAGTTCCTCGTGAGCGGGAGGTAGATCGACCGGGGCGCAGGCTCATCAGTCAGGAAAGGATCAGCCGTCCACTCACTCATCCTTGGGAACGAAGCCGTCTTGTGCTGGCGAAGCGGCGAAGCACCAAACTGCATCCCAGCGACGAACTTGACGATCTCGTCGCGTTCGAAAGGAACAAACTTGGCTTCCATAGCCGTGGCGACATCATCAACCTTGGGTCCCCATACATCCAAAGTGCGGACGTTGACCTGGGCGCACTTGGCGAGGATGCTAAGGGAATTACGGTAATCCTTGTAAATAGTCATGTTACCTCGATCGAGGATCTGAAGAAACTCTGGGCTCCGAATGGTTTGGCTGATGGCGCTGTAGAATGCGATGATGTCGTCGGTATGTGAACGCGACGCATCTTTGTCTTCCAACGCTGCTTGATATGCAAGAAACAGCAGAGCGGTCTGGGTCCAGTCGTAGGTCGCTGTTTTGCAATAAGCCTCGTGGACTTTGTTTCCATAGGCCTCAGCCTCGTCTTTCGTCAAATCGTCAGGTAGTGGTGTGTTCAGATAACGGAGGCGAGAACGATTGAGGGCGGCTTTGCCCATTGCGAGCACAACCCAAACCATACCGAGAAATGTCTTGAGAAGCTCCAAGGCCACGGAGCAGATGGTACAAACGCCCTTCAAAAAGGTCACATAGCCTGCTTTCCAGATTTTCCAAGAGACATCCTCATGTTCAAGGCCGAAACAAACTTGCGCCGTGACTCGCAAAGCATCCAGCATGTGTGGTATGATTTGCTTCCAAGATCGGATACGGAGCTTGATCACGACAATGATCAAGTTCCAGAAGAAGAATAGGAGGTCTGTCCTGATGGCCTTGAATATCTGGGACCAGGTCACCGGGTTTGGGTAAGTGTCGTAAAGGCCCGGGGAAAGACATTCTCCGATGGTGATTACGGATATATGTCGTTCAAATATCTTGTCGATGCGACGCTTGCTTGTTCGGCCTTCGTACCAGTCGTGTGCTTGTCTAGTGAACCACTGTCCTACACCATTCACGACCGTCTTGACAAACCTCCAACAAAGGGGAGGAATACACTTAACGGGTGGCAGTTGCGTGTGAACGATGAGAATAAGTGGGTACGACAGGAAGGTACTGAAGATCCTTGGCCATACGATGTATCCTTCTGACCATCCGAACCAGTAGTCGGTGAGCAAACAAAACCAACCCAGGAGCAAACCTGCATATCCAATGCGGCATCCAGTGTGCTGGAAGGAAGCATTGATAACTGGGAGGACCTGGCCGAGGCTCCGCATGGCGCGGCCTTTGCCCATGGCGAAGACAGTGGCCCACCAAGCCATGATGATGACGGCAAAGATGGTGGCGAGGAATACAACCAAGTCAAGCTTGGAGTACTGGGGTACCACCATCGCGTGCGCAGTGGACACGCGATTCTGGGCCCTGTAGCGGGACTCACTGTGGTCAGGCGAGGAGTACTTGTAGGGGTTGGGCCTAGGACGACTAGACTGAGGAGTGGGAGTGGAGGAGATAGTGGGGATGGCGTGAGTGATGGCAGTGGCAGGGATACCGACTGTCTCGGTGACAGTGACGGTTGGCAAGATGACAGGCGCTTCGAGCATTAGATGAGTGACGACGACGGCCTCGATGTGGGAGGTAGGAACCGTGGATTTGAACCACGGAACCACACCGAACAAGGCGGGCAAGACCTTGAACGCCCACATAGTGTTGACGGTTGTCGCGATGCACTATCAGAGCGAATGGAATGGCGAGAGCCGAATTGGCGAAGTGGATGGACTTGTCGCAGTTGCGAAGTAAAGAAGTGTAAGATAGACAGACCCAGCGGCGATTGATTGAGTGTGATGTTTTGTCAATGTGTGTGGTTCTGTCAGTCGCTGTGCGTGGAAGAAGGATCGCAGAGTTGGAGGGGCGTGGATTTAATGTGTAGATGCGACAGTCTAGCGCGATTAGGTCGGCGGCGTGACCAGTTTTTGGACCCTTTTTGGATCTTGAAGGTGGGAGGTGGGGGACCTTAAGCGGGGAGTGCAAGGTTCTGATGGGTAGAGCGGTGGTAGGCTTCATGTTGGGGAGGTTTGGGTTGAGGTGAAAGGGGAAAGTTGTGGAAGGCCGACTTAGAGATATCAGGGGAACACGAGAACACCTAGTAGCGACCACAGTACAGCGGAGAGAGCATCTGTACACTAACCGCGATTTGGCTGTACATTAGCGATGGATATCGGAGCCTGATACGTTGTTGGTATATTACATAAGTCCGCGGTCGTTACCTGTATTCATCAGTCACCCAGCATCTTCACTGTTCACATGTATCAAGACGCCTGGAGGCTTCGACTAGCTTTGTAGTTTTGTCACATCAATCTAATTGCTATGGTATTTGTGCTATGCTACTCACTATCCTTTTCGCTAATAGATCAAGACTGCCGTTTATATCGAACTCCACCATCGGGTATTTCCCACCAACCATAACAAAACAAACATTAGATCCAGTCCATCGGTCATGACAATGCGTCCACGGGACGGGTATAAGAGGAAAACATGGTGTTAAGGATAGTGAACGAAAGGAAAAAGAGACACGCCAGCGCTGTGCTGATCCACGGGCACACACCAGCCCTTTGATATCGTACAAAGATATTGAACAAGATCTGAATGTAATGAAAATGGAGATGCTATCTGGTTTGATGAAAAATGTAAGAAGGGTATCGCTATGCTGGGAAAGGCAAAATCTCAAATCTAACTGATGTCGCGAAACGATGGATGATGCTTAAGAAGAGGATGAAGGCGGCGCACGTATCGTGGTGCCGTTCTGAAACTTGATCGTGAAGTTGACAAGGTCCAAATCGAAAGGACCAACATCAACACTACCACCGTCCGCATTCCCGTTGCGATCGTTTGTAAGCAGTGTTTGAATTGACTCCTGTGCGCTCGCGGCAACGTCCAGGTCCTTGCTTTCCTGGAGCGCAAGGAGTACAGCTACACGAGCAAAGTCGAGAGCACTGATGTTGCTTGAGATAGGTTGTGTTATGATGGTTTCAGCTTTAGATGTGCTCTCGTCACTCGAAGCCTCAGCTTGGCCAACCTGGCCCACGGTCTGGCGCTTGGCTTGTTGACCAGGAGCTTGCGCAGGATGGGGATGGTGAAGTACTGGTAATGTACGTGACGGGTGGAGCGTAGACTTCAGATCCATAGAGTGGAGACGATGCGGAACAGAACGAGAGGCAAGCCCATTGAACGTGATGAGGGCATTTTCGGCAGCGCAACTCAGAGACAACTGAGAGAACAGCGCCAGCACGCGTGTGCCGTCCAAAGGGATATTGAACTTGGGAGCGGTGGTCTCAAGAAGGCGAGGAATGCCGGAGCCCATGGTTGCGTTGTTAGCAGTGCCGGCAAGGTTAGTTGTGGTGCACCCGGTGGCATCATCGTTCGTGCATGTACTTCCCGTGAAGCCATTGATGCATACGCAATTGCATGATCGGTCAGAATTCAGGATCGCGATACCGCCATTTTGGCAGGTGATGAGACCGTTGCATTGCTCGTTGCCTTGACCCGGACCAGACGTGGGAAGTGGTTGAGCAGGAGCGTTGGTGTTGCTCATGTTGTTGTTGCCTCCGGTGTTGGGGCCTTGGGTTTCTTGAGCTGCAGGAGTGTTGTTGACTCCTTTGTTCATGTTTGGTATGACGACTAGGACTACTGGGATGACGACTGCAGCAGCGATGATAACCAGTAAGACTATCAGGAGCGTAATGAATGTCCATAACGGCATACCACAGCATCGTCGGCGCGGCTTTTGTTTTTCGTTACTCAATCCAGAGTCTGTGACACCATTGCGCGAATAGCCACCTGATGGCCATTTGGATAGACTGCCGTTCCCAAAGTTTGGAGTACCACGGCCCGAACGGTTGGGTGTTTCTTGGCCAGGCGGCGGAAATGCAGCAAGCATCTCAGACAATCCGGATTGTCGGACTTGGTTCCTATCGGGAGCGCCGGTTTCCCAGAAGTCTAGACCAAGTCGACTCGCTGTGCGTCCACGATCGAGATTTGCTGCTAGTCGTGTGGCTCTTCGGATGAGATCTGGCAAGCTTGTCAAGCTACCGCGCGCCTCGGCGTCTCGGACCGCATCCATATCGAGCCTTGCAGGCCTTCGCATACCAGCACGCTCGGCTAGTCCAGTCGGACGTAATTCCTGTTGGAGTGGTGACGCTGTTCCTGTGTAGTTTTTGCCTTTGAACATCTCCATAGTGTCTACAGAGTCTGCAGAGACGCCTCTGCTGAGAGGTGACCTCGGCATGCCTGACGGGCTACCGTCCCTTGCGAGAGCTGCAGCCCCTAGCCCCATGGCCCCTAAACCGATACCAACGCCATCTTTCTTTGCATCCGCTCCGTTCTTCTTGTTTCCAAAGCTGTCAATTGACTTGATGGTCATCAGCGATGGCTTAGTCCGCCTGCCTAAGCTCGCTTGCCTTACGAGTGCCGGTGATTGCTGAACGAGGCCGCTTCGGTCGTCGTGATCGGTCGGAGTCGGTGAGATGGTGCCGCGATCGCTGGTAATAGTCTCACCATCGTCCGAGTATAGGTCGTCATCAGGGTAAAAGGCCTTGTCGTCTGTGGGAAACACATTGCTAGAGGCAAAGGATCCACGTTGTGATTGTATTCTTGAAGAGTTGTTCTCCGACTCCTCAACGATGGGTGATACATACGACATCTGTGTATAGTACGACGACGGACCTCTTCGGGAGGAAGGCGGCGGGCCTAGACTCGGAAATCGTCGAGCTTGTTGTATGCTTGGCATAGGTGGTTGGGGCACAGGAAAGTCGGGTATGGATCCTATCGAAGAGTCCGAGGCTATAGATGAGGTAGTTATTGGGCGCGAGGAACGGAAAGAGCCAGGAGAGAAGGTATCGCCATTGGGATGTAGATATCCCGGGGAGGCTGGTGAAGGGAGTTCAGGGGACAGCTGTTGGATGGGAAACTCGTCGGACACAGGTCGTGCAAACTGTGGCGGTGGTTGTAGTCTTTTTGGAGAGCGCGGTGGGATATCAGGACTGGAGTCTACCAATTCCCTGGTGATGTTCGGCAGTGGCCATTGTGGTGACGGCGAGTCTGCTTCAATATCATCTCTGCTTCCCGAGGGCGCAAGTCTTTGTGGTTTCTCGACCTGCTCTTGAGACCGCTGCGAAACAAGTTGGTTCGGTCGTCGAGGAAGACCTATTATCTTCGATGTGTCTGGGAGCTGGGTCTTCTTCTGTGCAGCCTGCATTCTCTCACGAGCCGCCCGTACTGAGCCCTTCTTCGCGTCTCCATCGTTGCTCGCATCTGTTGCACCGTATACTCCGGCGCCCAGTCTCTGGTCGTAACTCATGAATTAGATTTCGGAATGTTGACGGTAGATGTGCCACTTGACACAGGTTTGATGATGGAAGGGTATCGTGCGACGTAAGGTTCACGCCCTCGATGCGCGAAGCTGTTGATGTTGACGAGTATGCTCCAGGCAGCCTGCGGAGTGTGAGAGCGTTGACTGTGAGTCCGACTGTGCAACTACTGACGCATATGCACTTGTTGCAACACAGCTGATGGCCAATGCGAACATGTATGAAAGGCAGGCCTTGAAGTGCTCAAATCCCGGAAAGCTGGTCCAGGTACCTGAAGCAGATTGCAGGCAGAGAAGTGAGTGGAGGATAGACGCCAGGAACAGGACAGAATGATTTGGTACGCGTCGGTAGACAGCGGAAAGCAGCGATTCCTTGCGTGAGAGAAGCCCAGTTGCCTCAGGTTTCAGGGAGTCAGGAACCAGGAGGTGAGTGATACGGCGTATCAGATGATGAGTGACCTACAATCTCACAGATCAGAATGAGTGCCTCGCATGATCGGTGGTGCTCAAGTGGGACAACAAGGGCTCTCCCAACGAAGAGTTCATAGTAATGCAGAGTAGAACCGGACTGCTATAGTCCAAGAGCCTATGCAGCCCAGCAACAACAAGCCAAATACGACAAGAGCAGACGCAGAAGGGAGGCAGAGGGGAAGGTGTGACGTTGCCTGTTGCAGCACCGTGACGGTGATCCCAATGGGGTTTCAAAGGAAATCCATGTACGTACAGTAAGAGGTTCTGGGCCAAGTCAGACGAGGGTTGTCGGAAAGACGGGTTATCGATAGGAAGCGATGCTGGATGAATGGAGGCGGTTGAATTGATTGACAGCCGTTGGCCAAGTATATGGAATATTTACAGCGAGTAAATGCGGGGACTAAGCTACGCGGAGGTATCGAAAGTAGTAAAAAGAAAGTATGATAGTTAGAATGCGGCAAATCGATGTCGCTGGAGGAGCTTCGAGCTCGCGATATGGACTCAGGCCAGGATGGAATGGGAACAGTGAGGATGAGCAGAAGGCAGTCGAGGCAGCGACCGCATGTCTCGCAAATACAGAGACTTTGGAGTGGCAGGCAGGGCAGATTGTGGAACACGCAAGGTTGGCATGGTTCAGAGTTTAGAAGCACAGACTAGAAGGTGTAGTGCAGGAAGCGAAGACGCCACGACATGCGCGGTCGACTCAGGGGCCTCGTACTGGTCACTTTTTAGTGAAAGCAGCATGGTGCGACAGTCGCGGGCAGCGCACACACTCCCGCCCCAGCACGAGGTGAGGAGAAGGTCCCGAGGATGCGCCCAACGTGCGACGGTGCGAGAGCGTGCGCCTTTTCGAAAACGTCCGCTGCAATGGTGATGATGACTGCAATTATGTTATCAAGGTCGCGCCCGGCGCAGGTGAGCTATTCGTGGCTGTCAGCAATCTGCGATGGTCCGGCAACATTGAAGGATGCTTCAGATGCATGCGGCCCTGGTGTGTTTTACATAGCATCACCTTGCGTAGACGAGGCGGGCCCACGAGTCGGTCTCGAGTGTCGTCCCGGCCAAGACAGCCCATTTTAGAATTCGCGTCCTGTTCCTGCATGCATAACGCCTCATTGGGTCCAGACAATACTTCCATAGCGACTCCTACATAGGGTAGGTGCAGGAGCGCGAACCGTCGTACCTGGAGAGGTTTTTTTCAGCAGCGCGCACACACTGTCCAGACAATGTCGTCACAACCCATGTGATCGGAGAAAGGGCCGAGCCTGTAGATTGGATCAAGGGCCAAGATCGATGTCTCTTTTTGCGAGGCTCAGCGAATGAACGCAGGATGGAGATTAAATGACATACAGAACCGCAGTGTCCGTGAGGGCGGGATCAGAGTGGACAGAGCGGTGCCCGCTGGCTTGCAATCAACGTGAGGCGCCCCTAGATAGCGATCGACAAGCGAGATCCAGCGGCCTTGTGGTGCCGATTACGCCGTCCCGCGTATCGTGGTACTGAACCTGAACCTTGAAGAGATTCGTGGAGTATCGTAAGGCTGACTTTATCCAGCAATTACCGTTAAAGTTCTTACAAAGTTTGGTACTTGGCCGTTGGGCAGGCACGCGGCTCGTCTCAACACGTGAGGCCAGCCTGCCGGAGATGATGAGCAAAAAAAGAAACATCCCGCGAACGCCTCTTATCGACTTGATTCGAGCGAGGTGCTCTGTGCATACGGAATCGCGGTCATCGCTACCAGATACTGCGAAGACCCTCTGTTGCCTCCACCTGTACCTGCGTCCTCCCGAGGTGCCTGTTCTGCATGCGTCATCCTCTCGCGACTCGAGACTCCACTAGCAGTCAATGTGTTCTGACTATTGAATCCTCCGGAAAAATGGTCACACCCCACACATGTGCGATTCATTGTTGTCGTGGTTGTCTCTGCAATCTTGCTATGCGCTTGTGCTACAACAACATGATGGGGAAGCAACTACTAGTGCACAGTTGACAGGCATGACGGGTGACTGCAGCATGTGGGAGCGTTGGTGTAGCTCCTGCACGTCTCCCATAAAAACGCCAGCCACAAGGTCATGTACTACTGCTGAAGCCATCCTCGAGTCATCTTTGTGCAACCTCTCGGACCCACGCGGAATCTGGACTCAAGCATGCCGAGACGTCTCGGATAGCCATGAGAGACAATAGGGAAACCGCGCAGCCGATCAATATGGCCTCTCCTCAGCAAGTTCGTGGAGGGTTGATGAGTCGGACATCGTTTACGTGTTACTTAACTATATTGTAGGGGATTGTCAAAGGACGCAGTTCCACAACCCGCGATCCTGTCACACCCAGTCCGGGCTCCATACGTCTGCTCCTGCATGTCGACAGCGTGAAAGGCTCTCCGGATGGTGGCATAGCTCTTGAACCGTCAGATGGCGCACACACCAGTTTGACTACAAACGACATCTTCACCGACCATGGTTTGGCACAGCCAATACCGGTTGCTTCAAAGTTACCAGGACCAGATGACTTCCTGAGTTCGCCTTCCAAACAGGCAAACATTCGGGTTCGGCGAGCGAACAATGGTTCAGCACTACTGCAATCCCCAGCTCGTGCGGGACATGCTGCACGGATGAGACAGATCTTCGAGGACGCCAGTCGTGACCACATATCGCCTCAAAGTGGGCAGAGCGTATTATACCCCCAATTGCCAAATATCTCGAGGAAAGCGTCACCAACAAAGGAGTACGACGGAGATGAACGACATTGTACTCTCACATCATCTCCGACACGTCCTTCAGAGTCTTTGTGCTTATCGACAAGCTCATCTCGGATAGTACAACATAAGCTACAGCTAAAGAGCCCTCACATATCCGAGCAGAGTTCAGAGTCGTGGTCCGATGATTCGGGTTACTTCATTGCGGGCTCTCGAAGCCGCACTTACAGTCTCACTGGCCCGCCTAGGGACCGAATTAACGACTGGCTAACAAATGTAGCTGAAAGCGAACGGAATACACCTACTGTGAAAGATGAGATGGAAAGCCAGTCCAGCAGTTTCTCATCACTATTACCACCGCCCCATAAACTCACTGACATTGATCTCCTCCACAAGAGTTCCGAACAGTCGCCCACTCCCACCTGCGATGCCACTATTCAGGACCCGTTCCTTGATTTCGACACTAACCCACGTACCCCCTCACTATTCAAGTCTCTTCCCGCACGGCGATTTCCTAACATATCTTCGTCCAAACCTCTCACAACTCAAACTCAAGCTCAGTCTACAGAAACCGTCACTGTCCGCTCTCGCAACTCCCCAGCAAGACAGTCAATCTTCGAAGACGGCGGCGTCCAACTCAGCCCTCTTAGTCCCAACGTGTGCATCGAACGCGGCCCCACGCGCTATCACTCTGCACGTACATCACCAATAAAGGAACGGCGAGCCATGCGGTACAACGAGAATAGGAATGAGGATAGCGGTATCGGGCTGGCACAGACAGAGGCAGGAGTACAGGACAGTCCGCTTGCACCATGCAAGATCGGTGCCGGGACTAGGTTCCAACATCCTAGACATGGTGTAAGGGGTTTTGGGAGGTTTGGTCGACATCTGGAACAGTGAGGAGTTCCAGACGGCGATCTTCCAGGAAGTTCTGAATAATGGTAGAAGGGCGTTGGAGGTTATGAGGAATTAATACTGGTGCAGGCATTGCTTTTACGTTTCGCCAAAGAACATCATCAACGCTGCAGGAGAGTTGGATAACATAATAGAATAGAGTGGAGCATATGACATAGCATTCGTCCTTTTGTTCCACCAGCAGTGGATCCTCCTCCAACTTCTCATGATTCTTGTTGCTCCGTCTCCTCTGCCTTCTTCTCAAGCTTATCATCCCTAACTACTCTACAGATCTGAATCTTCGTCTTTCCGGATCTCAAGACTAGTGCCTCCCAGTCCACAAGATAGTGGTTGGGATCTACATCTTTCTCCGGCTTGATTCTTGACCACTTCAGCGCAGTGGGATTCTCAGACGGACCAGAGTTCGGTACTACAACGTAGGCACCGTTGTTTGCAATCATGCGGTTGGCTTCAGATTTGGAGCTCGCAAGACCGGCGGCGTGGAGAATTTGTGGGAAGGAACCCGGTTGAAGCATCGAAAGAGGCAGCGTGACGATGTTCTCATTGATGTTTTTTTGTTGTTCTGATGTAGTGTCGGATACCGATTGCGTAGTTGAAGAGGCAGCATAGGCCTTCTTGTACTCGAACAACTCTTTATCCATCTTCCCCATACCTTCCTTTGCTGCAACAACCGTACCTTTGTGCTCGGCAATCGAGTTTCTCAGCGAGAGTAACGAAAAGGTGTGGGCGCCCTGACCGAAGGCGTCCTTGTGTGCGGTAATGGCCTGCTGTGCTGCCGCGGCTCCGTGTGCCAACTCGACGATCTCGCGGGCGAGAATGTGTTGGGCGAGGCGTTTTGAGGGATCTTGGGCTTGCCGCGCCATTAGGAGGGCGATGGAGTCAAGAGGGAGGAAGGTGAAGAGTTTGAGGTAGCGTTCTACGTCTGCATCGGCGGTGCGGAGGAAGTACTGTACCAATCTGTCAGTAGTAGATCTCTAGTAAAGTGCGAAAAGCATACTTGGTATAAGTCGAACGAGTTCAGCATTTGACCATCAAGCCAGACTGCGTTGCCCGCGCTCTTGCCAAACTTCTCGCCCGACGCTGTTGTAAGCAGTGGTGTAGTGAGACCATAGGTTGCAACCCGTGGGTCTTCTTCACCTTCTGCACCGTCTTCCATGGGATATATCTTCCGCATATGGCTGACGGCGCCCATACCCGCAATGATGTTTCCGTACTGGTCAGATCCGCCGATTTGGAGTTGAACGCCCTGGTTTCGGTACATGCTCCACCAGTCGTAGGCTTGGAAGAGAGGGTAGCTGAATTCAGATATGGCCATGCCTTCGCCGCTCTCCATCCGTAGCTTGACTCTGCAAGTGTGTGAGAAGAGGAGGCCTATGAAAGGCTTGGAGGACTTACGAATCGCGACCAAGCATGGCACCCAGGCGCATGCCAGACCCAAGATCCCTCATCAATTCTATCGCACTCAGGTTCTGCAACCATTTCTTGTTGTTGAGGATGTCCCGTTTTCGACTGACGAACTGCGGGTACTGGTGCTTGATCCCCAAGCATTTCACGTTGGTCCACAGCTTCTCCAGCTGGTGTTGTATGCTCTTCACGTTCATAGACTGCACGTCTTCGCCCTGCCGCGAACGAGCTGTCGTCCTGCCAGATGGGTCGCCAATTTGCACTGTGCCTCCACCTAACTATCCATGATTAATTCCCGCTTTGTGTATATCGAATCGTGGGCGGCTCACCAAGCTGACGGTGTAGTAGCCATGAAGGTACATCCAGTAAAGCGCCATGAGGGGAAGAAGGTGTCCGACGTGTAACGAGGGGGCTGTTGGGTCTACGCCAACATACACGCCTGTGCGCTTCTCGGTGAGCAGCCAGTCAAGCGTTTGGCGTCCACTGCCAATGTTCAGTATGATTGAGATTGATGCCTATTATCGTGCTCACCCAGCGACATCCTTTACGAATCCTCGCTCTTCAAGTAGACTGAGCATACTCTGCTGCATGCCTGATCGCACCTTCCCCGCCTGGTCTTCCCATTGCGCCTGTCTCGCTGCCGCATCTGGTTCTTCGGCAGCCCATCTCTTGTCCGGCCGCTCACCGCGCGCGAGGCTGTGTTGCTGTCGTGTACATTGCCGACAAACAAATTGCCGGGGCCTTGACAGGTGTCTCAAGGCTGACATGGCTGCCAATTGAGCGGCATGGAAACTTTGGCCCGTGTCAAAATGTCCCAGATGCCAAGATGGGACCCCGATGACGCCGATTGGCTGGTTTTGAGCTCACCTCGCAGCTACCCCGACCTCCGTGTCGCTTCCGCACACGTCACCTGCACCTCCCTCGGGCATCCTAGTGCTTGCATATGCATCATTGTGCTTCTTATACTTTAGCTGTTCGGTCAATACAAGATCAATACACCCTTCTCATTCATCTTGTCCATCGTGTCTTTGCTTGTGTTGCTTTCAATCCATTGTCCTGACCATCCAGTTCGCCCTGACATCCAACCTTGACCGCTAACATGTACGCTGCACTAAGCTGCCATCCTCCGCTGGGACAGACGACTACTATTTCCTCTGATCGAGAATCGGTCAGATTCACTGTAGTCATTGAGAGCTCTGCCGGCTCAGCAAAGACGTGGGAGGTTGCTCTGTGGCACAACTTTGATACTCTGGACCAATGGACAAGCACTAGTTTGCAGTCGAGTAACGAGGCATCAGTGGTCAGCATCAGTCATACAGTATGGGCGCGTCGGGAAACTAACTGCTCAAAGACAGCCGTCAAGCCCGATAAAGCAGATGTACAACGTCAGTACTATACAATCGATTTGCCGGGACGTCCGAAGCACGGGTCTTCTCTGTCGTACACCATCACATTCAGAGCTTCAGAGGTAAGTGCTAGACTCTGTGCTTACAATGAGCTTCACTTTGTTCCAGTCTTTTAGTTTCTTGCCATTGGATCGATGGTCGCAGATGGGCACGCGAACCCCTCCGCTGACATGCGCAGAACGAGCCTTGGAAATGGGCCAATGAACAGTTCTCAACTTCGGACGGTCGCATCATATACCAGTCGCCAGATCCGCTAAAAGAAGACTTGACATATTACCTTGAGGGTCTTCCACCATTTCTCAACATTTCCAAAGAACAGAGCGATACGCCCAATACGGTCCTATGGGACCTGACCTACCC